TGGCATCACGGATCTCTGGTATTACTGGGTTGAGGGAGTAAAAATAACCTTGAGGGAATGGCGTGGGGAGCTTGTCATGATGTAAGCAAATGTGACTGCTGGATCCCTCAGATGAGGGAGGATGGAGCTGAATATTCACCAGAACTTAAAGTAAGTAGAATGCGTTTTTTTTATTTTTATTTTTTTTACATGGTTTCTCATGAACATTTCCTGGTGTGCAGTGAAGAAAAGTAATCGGCTTCTGACACCATGGGAAGCCGGGATCCTACCATAGGGAAACAGAATGAGCACAAACCTGCATCAGGTGAACCCTCACCGACTCTGGCTGGTGCCATGTGCCTCCTTGGGGTCGTTGTTGGTTCGTTACCTTCTTGAAAAGTAATAGCAAAATCACGCAGCAGTTTGATTTGTGTACCAACAAGGATTTGCCCTATGAATGGCACCATGGAAGCTTTGTAAAACTCTGTCAGTGGGGAATAAAGTAGCTTTTTGTATGTGTGTAAACTACAATATAATAGTAATAGCTTCTTTGCACTTTCCCTTACCTTACTAGGACATCAGGTGCCCTGTGTATTTTGGGCATTGTGTATTTTAAACTTGAATGGACTGTGCTCTGAAGTTCTTTGGACTTACTGGATTTCCCTTCTGACTTCTCCTTTTCCACTTGTTTCCAAAAAATGCTCACTGCAAATTTATTGAAATGGAAATTGCATACGAGTATAAGCAGAAAGCAAATTTCTTGCAGCTTTTTCTCAAATTCAACATTTTCTGAAATCCGCTTTATCTGTGCTTTGTTTCCCCGTGCTGCGTGTAGCAGTAGCTGCGAGTAACCTGGGCCTTTGCTTCTTGCAGGGTTGCGTGAGCAGGATGTGATTCACCTGATTACATCTTTTTCTTAAAGGAAATTGAATGCAACACAACCCCCCACATTTTGAATGATCACTGAGTCTTGAGTCACTTGTTCTCCTTTTCTAAATGGAAAAGCCAGCATCCCTGCTGCTTTCCATTCGCTGCCTGGTTGTTTGCAGGCTGAGATCTTTGCTGTAAACCCCTGTAGACAATCAGCCTGCTGTGCTCTTCCCTGAGCCGCTGTGCTCCTGACATCTGTAAGACAGCCCCTAGGTAATAGCCATGGCTAGGTTCAAATCAGATAAAATCCTCTCTCCTTTGAACAGACAGGAGGGCTCCTGCTGGCTATGGGATGGTACCTGGTGCCTCCCCAGGTTCTCTTCTGGCTCTCTGTATACAGCAGCTCTTGCACCTCAAAGGGGTAGAAATAGAGGAGGATAAAACTAAACGATGCTAGGGGAATATCTAAGCAATGCAGGGTTTGTTCCTTTGGGCAGAGCTTGTGGTTGTAGCAAGGCTGTGTTATATGGCAGGAGTTGACTCTTCCTCTTCTTGGGGCACACCTGTGGGGTGGCGGTGGTGGGAGGTGACTGGGGACATAGCACTGGGGACACGGGACACAGGGAGAGGGCTGCAGGCTCGTCAGAAGGGATAGACAGGAAAGGAAGGGAGGGGATGGTGCCCTCTGCATTAGGGAAGGAATTGATTTTGAAGAGTTGCCTTTGAGAAACAGCCATGTAAAGGCTGAGAGCTGGTGGGTGAGAGTTAATAAAGGACAGCTTGTCCTTTACTGGGGGGTCTGCTACAGGCCACCGGGTCAAGGGGATGGAGAAGCACTCTTGTGTAGATAATGATAGGACAAAGGGGAATGGTTTTAAACTAAAAGAGGGGAGATTTAGATTACAGGTTAGGAGGAGATCTTTCACGTGGAGGATGGTAAGGCACGGGAACAGGTTGCCCAGAGAGGTTGTGGATGCCCCATCCCTGGAGGTGTTTAAGACCAGGTTAGGTGAGGCCCTGGGCAACCTGATGTAGTGGGTGGTGTCCCTGCCCATGGCAGTGGGGTTGGAACTGGGTGATTGTTGAGGTCCCTTCCAACACAGGCCTTTCTATGATTTTATGATTCTGCCTCTTTACGGGTCAGTGGTGTGTGAGTAGGAGAAAGAAGCTTTGAGCTGTGTTTGGGGGTGAAAAAAAAATGCATTGGGGCAAATCCTATGATGCAGAACCCTTCCTGACTTTGTTAACACGTGGTGTTGTGATGTGTCTGAGGGAAACAGTTTTGCAGTAGTGCTTGATGTTGTGTTTTCACCATGGCTGTGTTTTCTCCTTACTCTCCCCACCGTTCTTCTCATTCCCCAAATCATTTTGCAGGAGATTTTTCCTGGTCACTCAAGTGACCTTAGCCAAGCTGCTTCCTTTCTTTGTGCTTTAGTTTCCCCAGCTGTAAAATGAGGATAAAGAGACCTGCTTTCCTTTGTCAGGCACTTAGTGATGTGTTTATGAAACGTGCTATTAAAAGGCTTTCTATGTATAACTTCTATACAAATAGCAGTTGTCCAAGTTTATTTGAATTACTATATTAGAGTCTGAGGTTCTGGACATCCTTTTGTTTTTGAAAGAGGATGTTATTTATGCAGTAAAAATGCTCAGAATATGAATCTATTGATTGTTGCTGATAAGTTTATGGGTATTAAAGCATTAAATATAATCACTGCCTGTTATCAGCCGTTCTGGTGCCTTTGGAAGCTGCAAGTGGTTTGCATAGGTAGGTCCCCTGATTACCTCGGAGCGATCAATAAAAGGTTTTCAGCAGAGGCTTTTATTGCCACGTGGTTAAAATGTTCTTCCTGCGTGTCCTGTCCATGATGACTTCAGCTCTAGGAGAAAGCTCTAACAATCCCTTTGTGAGGTAACTGGATTACACAAATACTCGGGCATTATATTGAGGTAGATGCTGCCACTTTGGTTTTTAACTCCCTTCTATCACCCGACTGTGCTGCCTTGCACTGGGAGGGTTTTCTTGCTCGATCCTGGAGTTACAGTCATGAAATATCTCAAAATACTCCCATTTGAATTTAGGATTTCATTACCCACCGACAGTACAGTGGCATACATAGCTTGTCTTTGCGAGTGGCTGAGCAGCAGCTTGCCTTCTGTTTTGCAGACAGTTTCCATCCTGGAGCAGAGACTGACGCTTACAGAGGACAAGTTGAAGGAGTGCCTGGAGAACCAGCAGAAAATCATTCAGAACAAAGTGAACTGATTTTGTGAGAAAGGAGCAGAGATGGAGGCTCTTGGAGGTTTGCAGTGGTTTGCGTTCTTAACAGACTGTGTGTGACTTTAAAGATTTTGAACTCAGTCAATTTTTAATTGATATGTACAGTTATTGTATCTGTAAATACAAAACTTTGTTACTTTACTAGAATAAAAGGAAGATTTTATTTGTAAGAGTGGACGATGATTGTGATTTCTTGTGTTTTTCAGATTCTGTAACAACCAGCTAGAAAGGCTGCATCTATTTTGCCTTAGCTGCTGCTGAGTTAACCTTAAAATGTTTAAGCATCCTAGAGCTGTCAAATGTCTGGCCCGGGCCATTAGGCTTGTTGCTGGCTGTATGTTGCAAGAGCTCCCAGGATATCCTGGCCAGTGGGAGTTCACCTCTGTTCTCAGGTCAGAGCAAGCATGTGATATCCTAGTGCAACTCGCACCTGCACAAGGATCTGTCCCACCAAGTCCCAAATGGAGCCTGGCAAATCTGACAAAGTGGATCAGATCCTGGATTTGTGCGGAGGCTTTTCCAGTGGAAGGATTTAACCTGCTCCCTCATGCAGCACGTGAAAAATGGTTTGCTGAGCTGAGTCTGGAGGAAAGCTCCTAGCTCTACTAGATCAGATTGCAGAGTGGATTGCCAAGCAGCTTTTGCTTTGTATTTATCCACTTCTTAAATTAAAGGCAGGGAGAGAAAAAGCAACCAAATAGCAGCATGCTTGCTGCAGTCATAAACCTGCCCTCTTCTCACACTGGACTGCCTTTAATTTTCAATCACTTTGCAGATGTTTTTGCAGTCAAATAGCTCATCACTCACACCTACGTTGTCACCCTGCTCCTCGCATCACACCTCCAAGACTTCAAGGCTTTAGCAGGTGTTCAATATGTAGCTGCACAAGAATTTGGACTTCTGGGAGATCCTGTTCTCCAACACCTCTTCTGCTAACATGCACTGGAGATCTCCTTTCTTGTAATAAACTACTACGTACATTCCTGAAGAAATGAGCTGTGGGAACATGAGCATTTCAGGGTTAATGAAGCCCTCCTCCTTTACGGTCTTTCTGACCTCTTAAAAGAGGGAATTTGCCTCAATCCCTGCCCTTGGCTGTCCCACCTGCACAGCATTCTCCAGTGCTTCCAAAGCCCCCATCTCCAGATGTGCCATGGGCATTTCAGATGCTTGGTGAAGACCTGGCTGGCATTCTTATTTCACACAGGGCTTAACAGGTCTTAAGGCCAAACCCGATTTTTTTTTTGCACCTGTTCCTGTTGGAGGCTGTGTCCGCCTGTAATGCATCTGGACGGTGTTAATCTTCTCGTCCCATCTGGATGAAGCTGTTTGCATTCCCTTGTCATCACTGGGAAGCTTCTGGTCTCCTTCCATTCTGGTACTTTCCACCTCTCTAAGAACCCCTCGTTGGCATCCCCACAATATTTCACTCTTTTTCATCTGCAGGAAGATGAGGGCTTTCTCATTTCCATGCTTATTGGGTGGATTATAGAGCTGAGTTTCTCTCTGCTCCACTACAGACTGTTTGTTTTCTGTCTCTAAGCTCCCACTCTGATAAATTATTATTTTCTCTTAGATTACGCTAATGGAATCAATTCAGTGAAATTCTTCCATGCTCTTGCTATAAGCTTTCAGAGGCTTTCTGTTGAGAGACTGACGACATTTCCATTGAAATGAACTGATGTTGTGACAGGACGGGTGGGAAGGAGGGGATTCAGAGGTGCACATGGCCGGTTTTCTGCTAGAAGGAGGCCGTTCTGCCACTGAAGCAGTGACAAAAATGAGTTGTCAGAGTCTACTTTATCAGCCTGATCCCCAGAGTTGTGGGCTGACTTTTTGGGGTGGGGGTGGGGAGGGGAGAAGAGAACTTAAGCTGTTCCAAGTCATCAGTTTTCAAACTTCACTTCTTTTCCTTTTAATTTGTAGTCTCTAATGTCTTAGAGACCACAGAAGCAATTTGCCATTCTCCCTAAAATACTATATGCAATACAAATGACTTGGGCACATTTGATAAAGATGCTTTTTCCTTTCAGATGTTCTGAGTGAATCCATTTGAAAGATAATTGTGCTTGTAATATAGAAGATGCTCAGGTGCTGAAGGGCAAGCTAATGAGATGCAGTGAGGGTTGCTTTTCTGTACTCAGCTTCATAAAAGCACTCATTTGATCAATGCAATCTATTCTTGTGAAAGTAACCCACAGTGGGTGGGCATGGGGAGCTGGAAGAGGGAATCTAACAAACTTAATGTGATTCAGGTAGCAAGAGGGGTAATACGGAGGGAATTTCTTCTGACAGTTCTCTCCATCTCAATCATTTTGTTTTCCCACATCTCAGCAATGTGCTCTCTTTCCCCTCATTACAGCCTCTTACCTTGAGTGGGATTTCAGGACTTAAAATGCACCAGCACTTTTAAAGAGAGGGTACTGCTTAAGAAGCAAGCAAGATGCAGAAAGCACGACACTTTAAATTATAATTCTCACCCTTTAACATTGAGCAACAACCTCAAAAATGTCTGAGGAGCCATCATGTCCTTATGTTCCACGCTCAACTCCATCCATGAAGCACCGTGTTTCTCATGCAGTGAGGACAGGACAGCATCCATACTGGAGGTTTGAATCTACCTTTGGTTTTACACTCATGATTTTTGACTTGGAAACATCTACAGCAGTTGATTTGGGAAGCGGATCACTCAGGGAGCAGTGGATCAGCTGAGCAAGGAGGAGCACGTACGTATCTGGTCCAACATCACTCCCACACAGTGCAGGGATATAACTTCCCTTGAAAACTTGTGGTGAGCTCTGCATGAGGAGGCTATAAAGAGTTAAAGATTTTGTTTTGGATCTCCAAGGCACACTGGAAGCCAAGTTCTTAAAAAAGTAGTTTAATTTGTTGCCATTATATTTGCCAGATGTATGACCTCACTCAACTTTTAGCAACGGTTCTTTGTGCCCAGAATGGCCCCCTGGGGAAGCAGGCTGTGCCTGAAGGCTGCTGCAAATGGCTTTTTGGCTGCTACGAGCATGGAGCATGTTAAACATAAGCGTGATATGCGAAAAAGTAAGAATCCTCAAGCACTGCCCACTTTCCTTCCTGTCTGGGAGCTGGAATTGGACAGATACTGCAGTTTAGTTCATAACTGAATAAGCAAAAGCAGCAGAGCACTGTGGTATTGGCTCTTCTGGCTGGGAAATGAGATGGCCAGGAGAATCCTCTGCCTGCATAACAGTACACGTGTCTGCCAACTAACTAGAAAATAAAATCCATCTATGATCAAAGTAGCCAGGCTTAAACCAGCCAGCCTCTTGGTATGGAACACTTATTATCTAATGGCTTTGAAGATCTACTCTTGAGCAAAATGTTTCCTGAAACACTAGTGACTAGGAGGAGAGGAAAACAAATCATTTACAGAGGTCTGTTGCTTGTGATGTGGAAGTGGAGCTACATTTCTTCCCTTGGTTTTAGAAATGGTTCATCTCCCAGTACAGTGCAAGTTCTCGAATTGTGCAACCTGATCAGCGGTAGCTTCGAGAAGGAAATGTGGTGGGAAGAATATTCACCTATTGATGCTCATCTGTGTACTTAGCCTGGGTTTAGCCTGCTTTTGGAAGTTTTACATGTGTCTCTGGGATCTTTGTCCAGCTCTGCGAGAGAACCACCATCGGAGACAAACACCATTCTTCAATCCAAGAACAACTGGGGATGTTCTGGCAGAGGGTATTTCATCGCCTGGTTAGCAGCAGCTGAGACAGACTGGGTGACCACTCTTTGAGACCATTCATTTGCCATCTGTGAGGAAGTCTTTTCCCACTGACCACCTTTAGGTTTTTATCCTCACTCCAGCCTTTCCCCTTCAATACCCCAATACAGCTGGAACCCCACCAAATGCTGTCACCAAACAGGCTAAATGGGCATGGTGACCCTGTGCCAAAAACCTGCCATGTCTATTTTTCACCATTTCTGCTCCCTGTAGGCATCATCTACACAGCCAGTAACTTGCTGCTGTCCTCCGGACCCCCGTCAAGCCGAGGATATGGTGATGTTCTGCGTGCTGTGAGGCTTTCAGACAGCCATCGGGATGGTTTTGCAGCAGATGCCCAACACGTAGTAGCACAAAAGCCGATCCCACTGACTCAGAGCTTGCTGTGTGCAGTGTGTGCGGTTGGTGGCAGCTGCTCTTTCAGCTGATGACTGCAAGGGTTAAGCTGAGCAGTTGCCTGGATGGAGCTCTTGAATTGCTTCACTTCCCTTTATCCACTCCCTCTATGAGTATTTATGTAGCAGCTGTCTGGGAGCTGTTCCACCCAGACTTCCCCTCGTGTGGGCCTACAAAAACACACAGTTTTGGGCAAAGTTTCCATTGTCACCTTTACACGGGCCAGCTGAAAGTCAGAGCCAGCCTTTGGTGCTTGAAACACGCAAATCATCTGAATGGAGGAGAAACTTCCCTGCTCAGCTGAAACAGGCAGATTTTGCGGGCCCTCTCAGCTTTTGAGGGTGCTGAGCTCCATGAGGTCCTGCAAGGAGGAGAAACTCCTTGTAACGTGATAAGGGCCGGGGGGTGGTCGTTGCTTCTCCCCTTCTGTGAATCCACTCTGCCACGTGTAGCTTGCTTGGTCCGTGCAGTCAGGAAGGCTGCCTCAGGGGTTAGCAGCCAGATGGTTTTCATCCCATGAAAGCCTAGAAATATCCTTTTTCCTTCCATCTCCTCTGAAAGCCTGTTGCTTTCGTTCTGTGGCATTAGACATGTCTTTGTGTTTCAGTGTCCTCTGATGCAGGCATGTGGCCGGGGAAGGCTCCTGCTGCACGTTGGGCTCACCAGGTAAGAGCTTTCTCCAGGAATCAGGGATTAACGCTGCCCTGGTCTCTTGCGAGCAGGCAGTGCAGCCAAAATAGGGGTGCCGGTGCCGTGGTGCAAGCTCTGAATGCTGTTCCCATGCACTAATTGTGGCTGAGGCAGACGCGTGTGACAGCTCACCACCTACGAATCGGTGGCCCAGGAGCAGAGGAAACTCAGCAGAGCCCGCGGGTCCGAAAAGTTTCATCTGGCTTAATCACAGATCCTTGGATAGATGTGGGGAAAGAGAGGGCAGGCTTTGGTTTTGCAGCTGTGCCTCAGTTTCACTTCTGTGGCGTTTCGTCCGTCTTGCATCTGCCGGTGGTGGTGGTGACAGAGTTTAAGAATCCAAACCCCGAGGCAGCTTCAAATTCAGCTAATGCAGTCAGGTCAAGAGGGCGATTGGGTTTGGATTCTGCTTTTGAGGTCTTAGGGAAAGGCTGCATTTAACTTGGAGAAGCTTTGCAAAGCTCCTCCTCCGTTCATTGTCTGTTTCTGTGGCTTTTCACACTGTCAGTGCAGTCCCTGGTAGGGTGATGTTTTTATAATGCAGAGATGGAGCAAGGCACGGGGCTGGGGTTGGAGATGGCAGCATCGTGCTCAGACTTCTCCCCAGGTATCTCCCTGGTTGTGGTCCCCAGCAGCGCTGGCACAGCTGGAGAGCAGCTGGCTAAAATAAACCCATAGGGAGCGGGGGATGTACGGGAACAAAAGCTCTTGAAATGGGCCCCGGTGGGCAGACTAAGATCCTGTGTGCGTGGCGGAGAGGCAGGATTTGGGAGAGCTCCAGCTGCACTTGTAATGGAGCCGGTCTCTTCAGTCCCAAGCCCAGGGAGAGCAGCACAGCAGTGACAAAATGCTGCGGGTGCTTCCACAGCTGGCTGTGCCTCCCCCTAGCAGAAACCCCACAGGGGAGCTCTCAGCTCCGTATTAAGCCTCGTTGTCCACACACACGGCCCCCTCCCCACCCCGCTGACTTTCTGTGTTAAGACACAAACATGCTCAGGGTGTTTGAGCATCTCAGTCCGGTTCTCGGGAAGCGTTTTCTTGTGAGAAATGAGGGCTACAAGCCTGCAGGCCTGGAGACCAAGACCCCTCAAGGTGACCTGCTGGAATACGGCTGCACCTGCGTGCTGCTAAGTTGATTAAGAAATATCTTTAATGCTACTTCATCTTCTGCTTAAAGATCAATGCCTGCCTGCTGGCTTAATTTTTTTGTAGATCCTGTTGGTTTCCTCAGGGAGAGGTTATTGGGCTTGTGTCTTTACGTGATGTATTTCTTTCCTTTGCTCTATTATTTATGAAATCAATAGACCTTAAAAAGGAACATTTGCTGCAAAGTGTCTGGAGCAAGGTGTGCTTAATGAGAATATGAAAACATGCCTGCTGGCACGGCCTTCCCCATCAGCCAAGCATCTGTGCCAGAGAGGAGCTCACCTGAGCACAAAGGAGTGGTTTGTCCGTGAGCTCGGTGCCTGGACAGCGACCCAGGGGATGGGGGCAGAAGCAGAAATTGTGGCCTGAGTGCCTGTGGGGCATGCAGGGAAGCAGCAGGAATAGGATGGGAATAGGATTGGTCTTCTGAATTTGGCAGCCCAGGTGGGAGAGGGGAGGCATGATCCAGACACGGTGCTCCTGAGGATGCTGGAGATTCTGGAGATGCCTTTCTGCAGTGCTGTGCTGGTGGCATTGAACTCGCAGTGGTCCATAGGGCTGCGTAATCTGATTTTTGGAAGGCCAACCCTGTACAGCACCCTGCACAAGATGGAACAAAGCTCATCTAAGCCGTGACTGTCCAGGCTGTAATTTCCTAATGCACCTGCAACAGCCCATGTTTTTGCCTGGTGGGATGCCACAGGTCCCTTTAACTTTAGTGTCCCAAGCCCCAAACCGTCCGTCAGCTTTCCCAGCCGTGGCTTTCCCTCAGCTGTTGCAGCTGCACTGCTGGAGCAGGGGTCTGAAACTTCAGCTTGGCTTGGGCACGGTCACGAGCTGGTGTTGGCAAGAGCCAGCTGTTAACCATGCTCTGTTTTTTTTTAAAGGAACCAAAACCACTAGAAGAAACAGCTTCTGAGCCAGCCAGTGTATAGAGTGCGTTTAATACCTGCTCAGGATGCAGATAGAGGCATCTTCTGCAGGACCAGGAGGAGCTTGGGGATGAACTTGCCCCATATTTCTACCAGGTAGTAAATTGAGGAATCTGGGCACCGGGTAATAAACCACTCCAACTTGAAATGTTGAAGAGAAGTAATGAGGGTGGAGTGGGGAGCAGCACCTGGGGGAAACCCCAGCTCAGTGCTGCTCCCCACTGCGGGATTTCTCCCTGATTGCATCTCCAGACAGAGCTGCAGAGCTCTGTGCCAACAACCCCTCCGGCGCCCACGTCCCCAGGAACGATTGCCTGGTTGCAGTTACCTCCATCACCTCCCCAGCGCTGCAAAAGGCAGCGGAGGTCGATGCTGGCTAATTCAGAGATGACTTGATGTTCCCATGCTGCGAGTGAGGATTCGGCCACAGCAACCAGCTCTGCAGGGCTCTGGTGTGTGGCCAGCTCCTTTGCCACCTCTGAAAATTTGTTGCCTCAATTAACTGCCTGCTTTGCCTACGCTACTGCTAACCTTGCTGCCCGCTTGTTAACAAATGCAGCAACGTTTAAGGTAGCGAAATGCTTGATGGAAGGCTTGAGGTTGGTGCTGAATCAATCCCTGTGCTGGGAATGGATCCACTTGCTTTATTTCAAGAAACGAAGTGAGCAGGTCTCTGGCTCTGCTCCCTTTTTCTCACCCGTCAGGTGGCGATGCTTCATTTCCCTGCGGCTGGTGGGTTTCCCTGTGCTCCCTGCCCTTTGCTCTGAGCAAACTTGTCTCAGAGGTTACATTCTTCACTACAATTACCCCGCCTCATTACCAGGCTTCCTTTGTTGCCAGGTCTCAGAGGAGAAGCGAAGATTAAAGCGAGCAGAGATGATTATATTTAATAGCGATGAAAATTGGCACGGTGGTTGGGGGCTGTTTCCCTTCCCTCGCTTCCACCTCTTGACGTGTGGAGGCAGCTTGAAATCACATGCGACCACCTCACCCAGCTCCACCACTGGGAGGAGAGAGCCAGTGGCAAGTTTTCCCTGTGTTTGTGTTATCCGGACTTTCCATCCTGGCCCCAGTGCTCAGGAAAGTAGCTTCCCCCCCTGCTCTTTTTAAATAGAAAGGGTGTCTGTATATCTAAAAGCCTCCCTCTTTTTTTCCCCTCTCAACCTGTCTTGGGTTTAATAGGAGGTGTCACCTTAGGTCTTTAGCCCATCCCAGCCGTGACAGCGCTGTACCTTTGACTACCTGGCTGTCAAAGTAAATGTAAGCGCATGCTGTGGCCGTGTCAGACACCTCTTTAAAAGTGTTAAGTATGATCCTTATCCCAGTATTTAATGTCCCATCCCATCCTCAAGCTAAGCCGTGATTTGCCCATGGAGACAAATGCCAGGACTCAGTCCTCTCCTTTTCCTTCCAGCAAGGCTCCACCAAGAGGCATCGCTGACCCTCACCGTCTGTCACACCAGCGAGGAGAGGATGGAGCTGAAGGATCCCTGAACAGGCAGGTCAGAGTGAGACAGCCCTTGACAGAGGGGGCTTGTTGACCATCAGACTTCCATCACCAGACTGCAAAGGCTGCCTGCCCTGAGCGTGTTCATCTCCTAACACAGAAAAAAAAATAAATCAGTGGGGTGGGGAAGTGCAGATGGGTGCAGAGAGCAAGACTTATTATGGAGCTAATAACCCCCAGGGGGGTTCTGCAAGGGAGAGGCACAAACAGCAAGTGCTGTGTGTCCCCAGAGCTGATTATTGAGCAAAACATAAAAAGGGCAAACGGCTTTCCCCCCTGGGAAAGCATCCCATGGCAGCTGAAAGCTATCCTGGCTTTCCACAAGCCATGAAGTGCCATGGGGTTTTGGTGAGCTGTGTTTTTAGCTGAGTTGTAGCCTGCACAGCTCCAGGCTGCTCTTCTCAACTGTGGCTCTTGGGACCGTGCAGGACGTGTACAGGTTTCCAGACCCACCAGACTGCAGCGCTGGCCAAAGGTGATGGACAAAGGGTGCTCCTGGTCCTTCCAGCTCCTGTCTGCTGCAGGATGGAGTCAGAGAGTGGTGTACCCAAGAGAAAGGATCTTGTTGGTCTGAGTTTATATACAGCCTAGAGCAGGAGAGTTTCTGGTTTGAAGGTGTGAGCTAGGGCTGTGATGTGCTGTAGGAGCATGGCACAGCTGGCTCTAGGAGTTGTCTGAGCCAGCCTGCAGAGAAGCTTTTGGAGGCTTTGCAGGCTTTTTCATGACTCCCTGCACACGTGTTGAGGATGAGCAGCAAGGACGGGCACTCAGGATGACTGGTCTGGTCTTTAGTATTTACAAAATGAAATCATCTTCCTCTCTCTTTCACTCCTTTTTCAGGCACTACATTAATATGTGCCCTGCATAGGCCACACCTTTTCCTAAGATCTCTTTCCCACCAACACTCTTTGTTTCATCCAGTGAGAAACTGCATGTGGCTTAACTATTTAACAAAGGTTACTCTTTATTTTATTTCTTGCTCTTGCTCATTTTCAGGCTGTATGGAAATTGGTCTTAAAAATGTTTACATCGATTCTTCTGAAGTCAATTCCTTGGCACTCTGACCATGACTGCTATAATCTGTCTGTGTCTATCTGCATTGGGTTAGCTAATAAATCAGCTGAAATCCCTGAGGTTCATTGAAACTAGCCCCTGTATCTAAATGATTTTTTTTTTTGCAAGGGACTTAACCCATCCCCGTTGCACAGAGCCTGCAGTGAAGTTCTGGCTAGGGACTTTCTAGCTGTTGAGCTAGAGGACTTCAATGCCTTTTTCTCTCTGAGCCTTTTCTTTCCTTGAATTTGCATCTTGGCTGGACACAAAGCTGCTTCGTGTCCCTGCAGGACAAATTGCACGTTGTCCCTGCAGCTGATAGCGTTCAGATGGGTCCTGGCACATTTTAAGCAACATGTGGTGGTGCTGAGCAAAGTGGGACAGAAGCGTGCTGTTCCCAGGAGGTTCTGTGTTTAATTTTGTGGTCTTTGTTCCTATCCTGAGCAGGGACGAATTCAATCAGCCAGCATAGCCCATTGATGAGCTACCATGTCACAGAGTGGTGACGTGCTCAAAAGCTCACCACCCTCTGGTGCGACAACCAGGTTAAGTCAGGAAAAACAGTTCTGGGAAACAGTAGGGCTTGTCCACAGGGCTTGGTTTTGGTTTGCCTCTATGTACTGTGGCTGGACCTGACAAAGCACGGCTGGAGGGAAGACCACGTACTGCCTTTTTGTGCTGATACGTGGGTCTCACCAGTGAGCCAGCCTACCCCAAAAAGTTTGGGATGGTGCTGAAACCAGTCCTCCAGCTGGGGATCCTTCACAGAGCTCCCCACGACCCTGCTGTAGGTGTCTCAGCATCACATAGCATCACACAGGGCGTGTGTCGTGTAATCACGGTGCTGTGCTAACGTCTCGAAGGTCTTAGCTGGGGCTCCGTGAGGTGGGAGTGGTAATACCCAAACCACTCCTCATGGACAGGGATCCTGACTTTCTGGAAGGTACGGTGACTTGCTTAAGACCATGTAACCCAGCTCTGTCTACATGCAGTCACACTACAGCCTCCAGCTTGGATGCACAGACCCACAGTTTCTTTAAGCTGGCTGGCATGGGTGCTGCTGGCACTGGGAGTGCAGCATGACCAGACCATCTGGCTGTTCTGCCACCATCTCAGCTGACTTTTGCAGCTCTGCTACAACATATGAACTGGTGAAAGGCTGAGCCAAGATCAGCATCTGTGTTCTTAACTCCATTTGGCCACGCCATCTCATACTATCCTTATTGTAATTGCCTTCTGGAAGACACCACGGCGTTTGGGCAATGGATGGAGACGTGGTGCTTCAGGGAGAGTTTGGTTTGGGTCTGGACTCCCTGTCTTGAGCTGGAGCTGGTGAGCTGAGCCCTGAAGATCCAGGTCATTTCCTCCTATAGGTTAGGATAATATTTCTATCAATGTGTGGGTGTAAAAGTCAAAACCGAGTGAGCAGGACCTGCTGAGCAGAGGAAATTCTGAAAGACCTGCGAGTGTCTGAAAGCTACGAAGCAGTCCATGCTGTGGATGTGGGTGATGTTCTCCTCTCTTCTGTCCAAGAGGCGGAAATGATGGTCAAGATTGGGGTTGCAGAGAGTGAGCTGTTCTCGGAGGCTGCAGAACAACATCCTGTGTGATCACAAAATTGCTCAAGTTTTGGTACGGGTTGCTTGAGTGCAGGCAAGCTCAGGTCCCAGCCCTGAGGAGGGACCAGTGAGCAGGAGCAGGGCACTGTGTGAAGGCTGCTGGACACAGCCAAAGGCATTTATGCCTTCCTCTACCCTTCCTTCCTTCAAAAAGGGAAAGTAGACAGGCTTTTGCTACATCAGGCCAAAAAGGAACAAAGCCTTGTGGAAATGGTCCCGATCCTGATCTATTATAAACCCCGATGGAGTTGTGTCTGCCTTTATATTCTGCATCAGCAGTGGCGGAAGGAGAAGAGCCAAATGAGAAGCTGGTGTTTGGTAAACAGCTGGTGTGTGGTTTCCCCTCGTGCTGCTCAGTGTTTTAAAGGAGAACCATTTGCTGTTGCTAAACAGGGCGCAAACATGCATTGCTTTAAACCTGCTGGTGCCTGGAGCTCTGCTGTGTAGTGAGTTGCCTAACGCACAGTGGGGAAATCACCTTTCAAACCCAACGCAGACAGCATACGCTGATGGGATAGCCACGTGCTGGTGACGGGATCGGCGCTGGTTAGTTGTGTTACGCCTCCAGCCCTGAGTTGCACAAAGGGGATTGCTCAGGCAGTTTTATTTCCTCCTCTAAGACGCTTGGGGTGACACCCTCTCTTTCACCATGTCTTGGGGTGTCATGCCCTCTCCCCAGGGCATGAGGAGAGTCCCATGCAATAGGTGGGAGAAGGACCAAGAGGTCTGGCTGGCCTCTGGGGAGCAGGAGGATTTAGGAGGTGCATGGAATGGAGTCTACAAAAATTGTGTGTGCTCAACACTTTCCATGATTTTGACTTGCTCATGGGTAAGTGTTTGCTCGTCCACCATAGGGAAGAAATCGTTTGCTAAAACAGCCCCAGGACTATGAACTCCATCCAAATCAAAGGCAGATGATGTTGGTCAAGCATTGTGCATATGTATCTGCCCTTCGTTGTGCCCCACAGCTGTGGTTCCTGTCTTGAGTGCAGTGCTCGGGGGTCGGTGGGGCTCTGCAAACACTGACTGCGTGGAGGGATGGGTCTTCACGTGATGTGGCTGGAGCACCCAGGGCTGAGCAGGGACAGGGCTTTGGTAGCTTCAGATCAGGCCCCTGTGCTGATTGTGGAGGCAGATAGAGCTGCATGGCAGGCATCACCAGGAGGTGGTTATAGCTTCCCTTATCTACATGCTCTCTCTTATCTAAATGTCCTCAATTGGGTCTTCTGCAAACAAAGCTTCAGGGGTTGAGTAGAAATAAATTTACTGCTGGGGTGTGAATGGGTTAGCAGCAGATGTCTGGCTGTGAAGAAGAGCTTGCAATGGCTGGTCTGTGGTGCATGATGTTTGTGGAAAGCCTCGGCCTGACAATTTCAATGATTCACTTCACCGAGCAGAACGTGGCAGGAGGAATGTGGTGAACAACGGGACAGGAGTGTGGCCCTTCGGCTTTGCCCTGGTTTTCTGGAAGTGATCTGCAGTGTTAGGAGACACTCAACTGGCCTGAGCTCTCAGTGACAGGAGCCTGGTTTTGCTGCAACGAGCCTGTCCTCTCCAGCCGCCTTGGTCCAGGACAGATGTCTGGTTTGCTGAAAGCCCACATAATATTTCTGTATAAACTCATTTTGAGTGGCGTGTTTCAGAGCCCTCAAGGTTTCTGTCATTGAATATTATGACACAGCTGGATAAAATCTTCTCTCAGCTCCCTGGGTGCAGAAGCTCTGGGCACATCATGGTCATGCAAGCTCCATCAGGAACCGAGGTGGTCAGAAAGAAATATTGCCTGGTAGGTGCTCGAGGAACTTGGTTAAAGACAATGATATCCTGAAAGACCAGGTTCAAACTGCTGCTTTCATGCTGAGCACGTGAGACAAGAGCAGTGGACAACAGGAGTTTCTCCTGACCACCTCAGCTGGGCCCTTGAGGTTCAATCTTTCCGTGCTCACGTTGTGTCCTGGCAGTAAGATCCTCACACTTTACTGTTATTGATCGTCCAGTCATGCCCAGGAGCACTGTCGGATCAATGAAAAAAATGGCAGCTCTCAGAAATGTGTCATACCCGCTGCAGGTGTTAAATGAAATACCCCTCCATCAGGAAGGCGCCTGAGGAAGTGTTAAAAGTTCAGGTTATGCACAAAAATTTCCCTCTTCCTGGACCCAGATGGGTTGTGGGCAGTGCCAGGACACGTAGCCCACTGGGCAAAGGAGAGCTAGTAATGTGGTGGAAAGAGTTACACTATTGCTTGCCCTGATTAGTTTTCTTTCCTAATTTCCCCCAGATTTTGACATGTGTGGACAGAAGAGCACTGTGAAACTTTGCTCTACAAAGTGCCTTCAGTTTCCAGCTGACTCTCGATCTGATTGAAATGCTTTGGGGCAGGGGGAGTAATCAGTCACTGTTAGTCTGAATTAATTTTGAACTGTAAGTGAGGTGTAATATGCACAATCAGAAGTCAGAAAATTGACATTTGGGGAAAAAAAAAATCAAAGGATATTTTTAATGACGGAGAGAAAATGATTTGTCTTTTTTTGAATACATCTTTCTTATCGGTTGTTCTTAGCCTTCCAAAAATTCCAAATGCTTTTGTAGTTGTTGAAGCCTAACAGAAGGCTTCCCATCGGAAAGCACTGGGGAAAATTTTTATTGCTGAAGGTGGAAATTGAGGATGCGTTTTTTCAGTGGGAAGCGTCTCAACTCATATTTTGTTGAAACCCATGAAGGTAAGGGACAATAAATACTGAATGATCAAGCCACTGGACATCAGAACTCACTTCTAAATCGTCAGGAAGGAGAAGGATCTTTTAAACCACGCACCCTGGCCTGGCGAAACCCTTGCTGTGATGTTACCTGCTTCGGCAACGCCATCTGCACGCTTCTGCTCCAGCCTTGGGTGACAAAAGGACACGCTGCTTCAGTGGCCTTCCCTTCCAAGGGATGTGGCCCTACACCATGAGCACTGCGGGCTGCTGTGACCCTGGGGCTGGCAAGGGAGCTGAAGAGGATTCAGCCAGGGGCTCTCTGCTAGCACGCCAGTAGGCTGTGAGGACAGCCAAATGCGCTTGCTGCAGAGCAGCATTTTGGGTGCTGGGGCTTGTCTTCTCCCATGGGCTCCTCTGACACGTTCCCTTGTGTAGGAGATGATCTTTGTTAGCTGTGGGCCTGGTACAACGGCTGCTGGGAGGAGGGAGGAGTTCTGAGGTCCTGTGGGACCCTGGCTTTAGCAGTCCATCACCAGCTCCTTCCCGTCAAAGGCATCGTGTGGATTTCTGGGAAGGATGCAGGAAGAACTTGATGCCACTCGCAAGTCTGTGGCATCACGCCCAGCATCAGCAAGATAAAAGCAAGGCACGGACCCCAGCGATTCCAGCCTGCCCGCCAGGATTTCCTTCTGCCCTGATACGAACTGATGGAGCTGATAACCAGGGAGCGAGTTTCAGGTAGCCGAGCAAACAGTTGCCTTCCTGTCACACACACAGGCTGTTTGTTCAGACTGTGCAGGGAACTGCAGAAATAATCACTGGAATTTTTCTACATCAGTTTTGGTTTGTCTGAAGTCTGGGGCCTCAGCTCCTTCAGGTGACTAGCAGATCACTAAAGGCTGCACAGCGCTGTTAAGATTAATACTTGCTGAGAGCTTCAGTAGGCCCTGCAGAGGAAGGTCCCTTTTGAAGGACAGTGGGTGGCTGGGCCTCCTGCTGGGGGCATCTCCAGGAACAGGGAAAGGGGCCCTGGCCTGGAGTCAGAGCTCTGGCGCTGGGGACAAGCACAGTGAAGAGGTTGTGTCCCCTGCTGGGGTTTGAGATGTGACTGTGCACCCCTGCACAGCTCTGAAATGTCAGCGGTGAACAATTTACCAGCTGTGTTGGACGTGATGTCCCCACTTATCACTTGGTCCCCTCTGTTTCCACTGCTTGTCCCTTACCTTTCCTGGTGTCTCTCTCAGCCTGGTTCTTCTCTTTCCCCACATGTTCCCCTCTGTGGTTGCTGCTCTCTCCCCCTCCCCAGTTTTCCACACTTGCTCTGTAGCCTTTTTCTTATTTTTTTTTTTTTCCCCTGTGGAATTGATCCCTGAAGCAGTGCTCTTCTCATGAATTTACCTATCCTCATTCAAGTGGTCCTTTCATCCTTGTTGCTTTCTTCCCTTCCCTCTATGGGAAAGACAGACGCTCAGGTTTTGCTTTATCACTTGCTTAAGACAAGACAGGAGAGCTTGTCCTGGTGTGATCCTGTGACACATGGAGCGTGCACAAACGGAGCGACCAAAGTATTCACTGCCAAAGTAACCAGGGAAATGGAGAACGCCTGCATGACTCAAGCCCTTTTGGTGGCGGTCCCAAAGGACTCCATACAGGGAAAAAAAAATAAATCTCTGGTTTAGCAGGGACTTTTCCTCTTTGTTTGAGGCCGGGCAGTGCTGTAGGAGTGTTCCCTCGTGTGCTAGTGGGGAATTCTTGCCCCAGGGCATTGGGTCCCCAGCGCAGGGAGAAGAAACCTTGTGCCCATCACAGCCACAAAGAGAGAGCCAAAGCAGCTTGGCACATGGTGTAGGGGAGGTATCGAGCAGGATGTAATTGTGGTTGCTTTTGATGTTGGAAAGGAGGGTGATCCATCGCTGTCTGACTTTTCAAGGACAGATGTTTTCTGCTTTGGGGCCTCGGAGGAAGAGGGTGAAGATCCAGGAGGAGCTCTGCCAGCGAGAGCTGGTCCCCTGGCTCTGCCAGCAGCCCCCACCGGGGTCGGGCACTGTCCATCCCTGCAGGGATGGCCCCAGCTCTCTGCTCAGCCCCAGCCACTGCTGCGGGGTTTGGGTGTCCCGGGGCAGCCAACACCTCAGCACCCCTCTGCTGGCCGCAGCTGGTCCTTTACTTTGTGTCTTCTCTCTGGGTGTGTGATTAGTGAATGAGATCGTTTCCCAGGAAATCTCTGCTGGGTAAGCCAGCCCTCTGCAGCGCAGTCTGTATTTTGTAGTATTGATGCATCGTGCGCTTTTCTCTCTTGCTAATTCAAGCCAGCACATACAAATAACGCTGCTTCTGTATGCCCAGGTCCTGGCCACACTCAAAGCCTCTTCTCGCCGTGACTCACTCATGGGCAAACCCTGGAGAAAGTCGATGTGGTAATTCAGTTGCAGGTCCCATCTTTTTCTCACAGCCCTGTGGTCAACAGGCTTTGTCAGATGGGCTCTGGCGAGGAGCAAGTTCCTCTGGGCAGGAGGCTTGCATCAGCCCAGTGCCTGCTGCTGCCCCTCCTGCCCTGCCCTGCCCTGCCCGAGGGGTGCTGCCCTCCTGGGGAGGAGAGGAGGGGATTTGTTCCCCCTGCTGGGTCTCTGTGGAGGAGCCTGTTAAAAGGAAGTTTGTGCATCATAGCTTTTTTTCTTTTATTTATTTTTTTCTTTATGTCTTGAAGCTTGGTACAGCTTTCTGTGAGGGTAAATTTTGTTGGCTGAATTTTTTTGTAGCTTAAAAAATGTTCATTTTTCTGTTATCCTCTTTCCTCCCGTCTTTCCTTTCTGTATCCTCCTTTTTATACTTAAAACCTCAAAATAAAGAAAAATCTGTATTTTAGGAAAAAAATACAGAAGGCTGAAGAGTGGAATCCGATTTGATGAATAGTCCCAGGCTCAGAAAAGCCTCAGTTATTTTATTTTTTCAAAGCAGCTGGTGGACTACTAGCTTGATTTGCTGCTATAAATACTGGTCAGGTTCTTTCAACTCTTCTGAAGGCAAATGAGAAGCAGTTGCCAGGTTTGCTTGGTATTGCATGTCTTGGATGATGAAAGGGCCAAAGCAAGTGGAAGATCTGTAATTGCGAGCGGGGTGCTCAGCCGTGTGGTCTGGGAGCCCGAGCTGCTGGGTGCAGCAGCGAGGAGGCACGCGCTTGATGTGGGATCTACCTTCACCACGCTTTCTACCTGCCAAACCCCAGCCTGGGAGATAAATAACTCTGGCTGGCTCCAGCACGGGCTGTTAAAAGCGCTCCTGCCCAGACAGAGAAATCGACCTCGGTGAGGTGGCGCCGGGCGCACCTCCAGGCCAGCTCCTGCCAGGGCTGAGGGGCCTGGAGCCCCGGCGTGGTGCTGCCGTGCCTTCCTGTGCTTCCAGGGGCAGGCTGTGGGACCGGGCCTGCTGCCTCTGGGGAAAAAACCTCCCTTTTGGGCTTCTCTCCAGCCCTGCCCAGCACGGGGCTTGAGCACAGGCCAGAGGAGATAAGCACGGCCTTCATGGGTCCGACTGGAAGCATCTCGGCACATCGTCCTGCTGCCAACAGCGACTCTGAGGGATGCCGTGGGGTTAAGAGAAGAACCCAGGCATGCGTAGACCTGTCCTTAGACAGCCCTTAGCAAGCCGTGAGTTAAGCTGCACTTCCCAAGCTGGATGGTTCCTGATCCTTCACTGGCCAAAGCCTTGAAGGAACCAAGTGCTTGAGAATAGTTTTGTGAACAAGAAACATCCGGGGACATCTGTCACTTAACTTACCCTTACACTAATGACTTTCTGGTGGAGCCAATTAAGCAGGTGCATTGATAATGACACAGTTAGAGCTGCATTGCTACCGAGAGAAACATCAGGTGGTCACTGAACCTCCTGGGGTACGCGCCATTGGTGCTGTGCCAGGGCTCAGACAGCTGTGAAATCTTCTCATCCCCCACCTGAGAGGGTTTTTCTGCTGATTATTTGTCTGTTTAATTTCTATTTTAGTGACTTGACCAAGGGGGTCCTCCTGCAGCACTGCCCAGGGTGCCCAGCACTGCCTCCCGTGTGTGTCCAGCCGTGCCACAGCGCAACCCCGGAGCACTGCAGCTCTCATGGCAACAGCAGCGTGCAGCTGCTTCCCTGTGTGTGCAGGCAGGAGAGGAGTTTTCTGAGGTAAGAGCACAAACAACTGGCAGAGCAGCCAGTTTTGGCTCGGGAAAAGCAGATTTTCCAGTGTCTAGGGATGCATTTTGTGCCATGCTAGAAGTGCTAATGATGATGGTTCGAGTAAGATTGGATCTTGGGATCTTGTTTTGCTCCGGCAAGATGTCTTACAAACTTGTCTTAGGAGCTAAATTTAAAGGGTGATTGTCCAGAAAGGGCTACAGAGCAGGTCTCTGAAGTCTCTGCCTGTCCTATGGGCATTAACATTGTTTGTGTGTTTTCTTAGAAGTGGTTTTAAGGGTTACTGTGGGATCCAGTCTCAGCCTGGAGTCTGCTCCTGGGATGGCTGCTTTTCAAGGGCAGAACGCGAGCAGCCAGGCTGTAGGCAGAGCTCATGCACAGCCCTTGAATTTGAGCTCCTGAGAGCAAGAGCTGGGCAGGACTATGCTTTGCCTGGGCCAGTGATGAAGATGAAGCCATGCTCCTTCATTTGCCGTGGTCAGACCGGAGCTGATCTGCTAGCTCTCAGCAGGGTTATTAGCACCCTTCAAGCTGACTTTGAGGAAAAAGGAAAGTTTTATTTGCTCTGCAAATCCCGGTCTGTGCAGCTCTCCCTCCATTGCTCTTTCACCACGTCTTTGCTTGGGCAAGCAGGATGCCACCTTCTTTTGTGGTAGACCTAAGGATCCTTGGAGCAAAGGACCCTGTGCCCTCCGTGCAGGTACCAGGGGCTACATGGCTTGGCAAATGACACCCTTGCAGCATCCTGATGTCTCCTCCTCTGGAGCATGTGTTGCAGTCCAAAGCTTGTAGTTGTATTTGATAGCAGGTCCAACTTGACTCTCCCTGGATAATTCAGCAGGGGATTTGGAAGCATGTTTTCTACTTAATACCTAAATCATACAAAAGACTGGTGGGATTTAGGTGCTGTGTGACTTTTGGAGGACTGAGCATCTGAGCTGTCCTGAAGTGGGAGTGGGGACACCGAGGGGACGTTGCAGCTTTCTGAGGGCACCAAATGCATCTCAGCGAGGTTTCTTTGGTCTTTCCCCACTCTGTAACATCAAAGGAGGCTGCTGGTGGAAATAAATAAAGACCTCATCGTGGGAGAGTGGCGGGAGCCCTGGCCAAGGGAAACTTGCCTGCTTGGCTCCTATCAGGCTGGCAGAGCTGGCTCATCCCAGCGCAAAGCATGCAGCTGCGCTAACCTGTCCCTGGGCAGCATAATTACAGGAGGAGGATGGGACTGATGGCTTACAGAGAGAGCTGGAAATTGGGGCATGCAGTGCTGGGGTATCACTGCTCAAGGGAAGTCTCAGGGAAGGATTCGTGAGTAGGGAAAAAAAAAAGTCAAGAGTACTGGCAAATGCCATAGCGATTTGTAGCCTGCATGTGCATTTTTGGGTAGTGCACCAACTTGCCCAGCCCATGAAAGGCCAGGGGCAGCTGCAGCATCTCCCTTGCAGCAGGTTCAGAGCATCCTCTTGGCTCAGCAGAGCCTGGCTGGCTCTCAGCAGTCTCTCACCCAAGCATGAAATTCCTTCTCTGGAGGTGTAGTATTCATGCAGGAGACACATTTATTAGGAGGCTGTCTGCTCCCCGCTTTGGCATGAGAGTTGGTGCTGTTACCGCTGGAATTTGGTTGAAAATCATTTGGTGTTTAGGTGTGTTTGGTTTGCAGGAGCTTGGAGGCTCCTTAAAGGACATCTCTAAAGCATGTTTTACTACACACAACCTTCATGGTACATGTGTTCTCTCCATAGGTCCAGGGCATGTGAGGAGACCTTCTTCCAAAGCTTCCCTGGCCAGCCAAATAAATACAGCCAGCCAGCCACAAATGGACACGTTCACAAACATCTCCTCCCTCGTTGGCAGAGCATCTGCAAACAGATTCGCAGTTGTCTCGGATTTGGTCACAATGGAAAGTCGCTCAGTGGAAGTTTATTCACAAGTTGCACTTTCTCCTGGGTTTGGAAGTCAAATGACCAACTTGCAGCTTTGCTGCTGTCAATGACGTGGCCTTGGTCCCCAGCCTGAAGGAATGCCACTTGTCTCCTAGCTGGAGATGGGGAGGAGAGAAGCTAAATCTGACACTGGAGAGTCATAAGCCCACGTGATGAGTTTCAGCTGCTACTGAAACCTGGTGGCATGAATGTGAACGCAAAGAGGTACACTACTTATTTTTAAATCGCTTCTTGAATATTTCCACCACCAATATGGTTCCAGTGCTAATACACAGTGTTCAGGTATCAGTAAGTTTTGGCAACTTTTCTAGAGCATGAGGAGCCAGAGTCTCTGCAATCCAGCTTTCTTTTTTTTTTTCTTTTTTTTTTTTTTTTTCAATAAGTTTCCCCCTTCTGCTGTGGAAATAAGAAAGTAGAGCATGAAGATGCTAAAAAGACTAAAATGTCTTGCTCATTCTGTCGTTCAGAAATGAAACACTTAGTTTCTTCCTTTTTTGTAAATGTTTTCCAATGATTTCAACTTTTTTTTTTTTTAATTTGTCACTGAAATAAAGAAAAGGAAAAAAGGGGGAGAAGTAATGAAAAGGCCAAATGTTTCATTTTCCAGCTAAATTCTTAAGAGGTTTGTAAAGAATGAAGTGCCTCGTGCTGACTTCTGGAATAAGGAAGAGAAATTCCACCTTTTTTGTGTGTGTTCCATTGCCACTTTTGAAATAATTCATCCCACCTCAATTAAAACATTAAACCTGGAAACTATGGAGGATGGTGAGTGCAGATGGGCACTTTTGCAGGAGGGATACTGGATGGATAAAACATTTTTGAAGGGCCCCGTGCAGATGTAGGTCTTTCTTTGGGGGCAAAGAACTGCTTCTGCTCAGCAGCCAGTAAAACCACAGCAGGAGCTGCTGGGGTGGACGAGGAGGTCTGCAGCATCCCCTGTTCCCAGGGCTCACACCCTGGGTCCCACCATTCCCCAGGAGAGGCCTTCCCCTCTGTCTGGGTGTTTTGCTGGGTGCCAAAGGGAATGGAGAACCCCTCTGGAAGATGTTCATCACTAATGCCACCTCTCTCTCATTTAAAGGAAGGCTTCTGCATCCACATGCAGGTCTCTGGGCTGTGCAAGTCACCACTGTGGGACCTTGACCCTGGATGGCAGCTTTGCTGAGCCCACAAACTCCTGGGTGTCAGTGGTGCAGGCATGAGGAAGCCAAGCTCAACGAGAGCGCCTGCAGAACAGCAGCGGGGCTGAGCCAGGTGAGTCCCTCCTGCCTTTCCCAGGCGTTGTCCCACCAGTGTCACCCAGCTCTGTGTTGCTTTACTGGGAGCAAAGGATGCTCAGGCATCCCTACGGAAACACCACTGTCCTTTGGGCTGCAGATATTCAGCCCCATTTGGCTTCCAGCAGGGAACAAACTCTGCTCAGCTGCCTGTCAGTGCTCAGCCTCTCTGATCCTTGCATCCCGCTGCATGCCCCGGTGTCAGGTGCTCCCCAGGAGGCCAGCTGAGCAGAGGCAGCGTTTGCTGGTACCTTCCGAAGCCAGTTTTGTAGCAGAGGACCGCTATTGTGTCTGCCTTCCTCAGCTGATGTCAGGGAGGAGGCACGTCGGGAGGGGATGACTTCACAGAGCTGTGCTGGGAATCGGCCACCCCCTCCCTGCAGCGAGGGCTGCTGGAAGGGAGCCCAGGCCAAGCGCTGCCAATTGTGTCTTCATCTTCGTACCCCGTTACAGGCAGTGTTTGCAAACACTGAGGCAATGCTGTTCAGGCAGGAGCCAGCCAGCTCTGTTGTTCACACAGCTTTCGGTCGCTGCTGAAGACCCAGGAGCCTCACGGTGCTGTTCGGATGGAGGGCTGCAGCGGTGGCTTGGGTGGTCCCATAGGAGGGGAAGAGGTGTCTGCTGGAACACCAAAAATGCTTTAAAATGTTCTGTTCACACTGGGAAGGAGGAGAAATGCAAAACAGATGGTTCTTATAAGCTGTTTGGCATACACCAAAGGATGAAGGCAATTAATTAATTAATTTCACTAGCCCCATCAGATCAGTGTGGCTGACAGGGCTGCAGAGGGCAGCTGCCTCCCTTGCTTTGGTCCTCACTGTCCTGATCATCATGCCAGCCATCTGGAAACCCAGGGTCACGCTGGCATCCTGCAGTGCCTGGGATGAGAGATGGCTCCTCCTTGAAGTCAGGGTCAATAATCTGTGAAAAAAATAATCATAGAATCACAGAACCATTAAGGCTGGGAAAGACCTCCAGGGTCATCTGGTCCAGCCATCACCCTACTACTACTGTCACCCACTAACCCATGTCCCCAAGCACCATGTCCAACCTTTCCTTAAACACCCCCAGGGACGGTGACTCCACCACCTCCCTGGGCAACCCATCCCAGTGCCTGACTGCTCTTTCTGAGCAGAAATGGCTCCTCATTTCCAACCTGAACCTCCCCTGGCACAACTTGAGGCCATTCCCTCTGGTCCTATCTCTAGTTACCTGTGAGAAGAGGCCGACCCCCAGCTCCCCACACCTTCCTTTCAGGTAGCTGTAGAGAGCAATGAGGTCTCCCCTGAGCCTCCTTCTCCAGACCAAACACCCCCAGTGCCCTCAGCTGCTCCCCATAGGACTTGTGTCCCAGGCCCTTCAGGTGACACCAACCTGGTGTCATCTGAAAACTCACTGAGGGTGCACTCAATTCCCTCATCCAAATCATCAGTAAAGATATTAAAGAGGACAGGCCCCAACACCAACCCCTGGGGAACACCACCGGTGACCGGTCACCAGCTGGATTTCACTCTGTTCACCACCACTCTCTGGGCCCAGCCGTGCAGCCAGTTTTTAATGCCAGTAATTACTGCATGCTTTTCCATGCCCTGGTGACCACAGGATGTGAAGGACAGGACTAAGCCGTTAGGAGAGGTGTCGGCTCCACTGCTTCTGCCCTGCCAAGGGACATGTCCCTGAGCTGCTTCTCCACCCAATGACGAGTGTTGGCAAATGCTCACCGGGTGTTGAGGCAGGAGACCGGGTGTTAAGCGCACTGGTAGCATCTGGGGGCCCCGGGATGCTCCTGGGACCTGTTTCTTCTTGCTGCGTAATGCCAACATTGACATACTTGTGTGCAAATTTCCCTGTAGCCTGGGACAGTTTGCTGAGACTCTTGGACTTTGGAAAGGCCTGGAAAAGAGGAAGTTCTGCTCAAACCCTCTGGACTCGTACTTTCTCCTGGGCACCCTGGACTGAGATCTCAAGCAATCGGGAAGGAAGCTGCACAGGAGAAAATCCCTTTTAGTCCAAAAGGAGGCACAGGGTGAGGTTGCACGTGCAGGCAGCTGAGGAGGCTGCCCGCAGCTGGGTTTCTGTGTTGCCTTCCGAGGACACGGGATAACTCCTGAGAGCTGGAACTGGTAATGCAGCAGCATCTCTTCTGGTGGTCAGGACTGCAGAGCAGCAGGCTAGTTGGTTGCAGGGGGGATTTCACACCTCGATGGGTGGAGTACCCCCAGCTCGTGAGCACATTTCCTTCAGTGCTGCCTGCTCGTTCTGTGCACCTTGTTGCTAATGAGTCTCAGCATCCTACCTAGGGGATGGACAGACAGACAAACTCGATGCTGGCACGGCGCTAGCCAGGCTTCAGCCTGATGCAGTTATGCTCATCCACGAGAAGCTCACCAGGGCCAGGAGACTGAGAGACCGTCTCCCACAAAAGACACCGACAACAGCCAGTGTCTGGTTGCTTGGTGTTGCTGAAGTATCATTGATTTTTACCTTCTCCTCTCCGTAACCATGACACCGACACAGCGGCATGTCTGTGCTGGGGCAGAGGGAAGCGGAGCTGGCAGGGTGAGGCTGGATGGAGCAGCAGCAGCTTTTGGTGCAACGAAATGGTGTAAGCAACTTGTTTTCCTCCTGTTTCACTACAGATTGCCTTCCACGTCTGCGTAATGAGATGTCAGAACAGGGGTTCCCCTTGTCTCTGTGCTCCTGTTTGCACAGGGCCAGGCTGGGCTACAAATCCCCATCCCCTGTGTTCGGTTTGGTGGCCCTGTCCCTCTGTGTGAGAGCAGGCATTTGGAGGAGCAAATCCTTGCCCAAAGGCTTTGTTACCTCCAAGCCTCTCCAGGTGACATTTGGCAAAGCCTGGTAGCACCTCCTCAGGCCACGACATCCGCTGTCTTCAGCTTGTCAGCTCCAAAATGTGTGTTGGCTTCACCACACGCTTAGCACCACTGACTGGTGTGTGCCCAAATATCAAGTAACTCGCTGAGCTGGGGCCTAGCTCAGGCTGATGGGATTAGGACCATTTCTTTCCGCGTGGGTCACTGAGCATGTTGGGAGGGATAATTTTATGAGATTCTGTTTTCTGTGACTCGAGGGAGGCGGAGCTGATAACCAAGAGAGGATTTGTTTGAAGTAAGGCAAAATACAAGTCTACAGCGATGTCTCGCTGGACCTGAAGACATCTTAAGTATTTTGGAGAGGACCAAAACTGACGCCAGGTGCTTGCCTATCGCTGTCAGAAACAGAGGGAATATTTGGGAGTTGGAAGCCCGACTCCAGAGTTAGATCTCAGGTACCTCCCTCTCAAGCACTGGGGAAGGGGCTGGGCAGCCCTGTGGGTGAGCAGCACGCTGGGTTTGGCAGCTCCCAGCAGATCACTTTAAATCCTGCCCCGCTTGCCCTTCGTGTCTGATTTTAACAGCATGACCGAATCCCTGCCAGCAGGGAAGCTGTGTTTGACTGGGGAGGTAGTAAGATGATTCGAACACAAGAGCTGATAGTTTCAAGTAACTAAAACTTAACCTCAGCACATAAAGCGTTATTGTCCTGCCACAGCAGTCCTCTGTCCGGGAGAGCACAGCTGCAGGGGAAATAAATGCTCCTCTTCTTTTTCTTTACCCTTTCTTTCTCTCTCTCTCTCTTTTTTTTTCTTTCTCTTTCATTCTCTCTCTCTTGTCTGTTTAAAAACGGGGACCTCATATAGGTTTGCTGGTGTTGGCCAGCAGTGTGGCATGGGTGCTGAGCTCTGAGGGCAAAGTCCCTTTAATCCTGGGAATTACATCCCAAGCAAATCCATTGATGGGTGTGGATTTAGTTGAGATCCAGGTCAAATCCTGGCCCCATTGAAGTTAAATGGGAGCTTTAGCCACCGGTTGCAGAGGGATCAGGGCTGGGAGTGGAGCACATCTGCCCTGCCAGCCTCTGCATCCCCTTCCCCATGGGGTGATTGTGCAGCAGTTAGGATGTCTGCAGGCACCCCAGCTGAGCTTTCCCTCTCTGTCTCAAGATCAGCCACAGCTTCGCTCCTTTTCAAACCCCCATGAAACCTCACCGAGCAGCAACCACTGCTGATCCTTCAGCTCCTTCTCGAGACCATCTCCTGACACAGAAATGGCTTGTTGCCACGTGCAGCCAGCGTGAATGCCAGCTTCCACCAGCAGCTGTTTTGGCCATCGAAGCATCTGAGGACACCTTTCCATCTTGGAAAAGCACTGCCATCACCAGCATTGCACCAAGGGCTGCCACGGAGCTGGGAAAAGCGCTTCCACGCAGGTTGTCCTTCCTCAATGTGTCATCAATGGGGTACGGTTGTGTGTGTATATATGTGTATATACATATATATATATATATAAATAAAAATCTAAAAGGAAAAACCCAAAGCCCAAGCTGGTGTCACTAGGAGCAGACTCCATGCTTTCCACAGTGATGCAATGAAATGATATTAAAAAGTGTTTGAAATCTTGTTTTAGAAGCTCTTGTTCCCGGCTAAAGCTGATGAAGCAGCACTGCTGGCAGCGTTATGGTGAGGAACACATGAAGATGCTCCAGCCCTGCAGGTTCTGCTGGTCCCCAGGTGCTGGGAGCTGCAGGCTCCTTCCCAGGCACTTCCAATGCACCCCGCAGGCCGCATTGCTCCACTCATGCAGCCGTGCCACATTTCAGGCAGTTTAGACAGTGTTTATGAAGGTAAGAAGACTTTTCTTTTGATTTTTTTTAAGGAACTCGCTATTTTCTTGAATTCCTCACCCATGCACGTCAGTGGGTCTCAGACCAGCTGGTTTTGGACGCACTCGGAAATCCCCGCGGGGACTGTTTTCTGGCAGGGCTGGGATGCGCTTCCTGCTGGTAGCTAGCCTACCGCAAAAACGTTTCTTTTTATTTAGTCACATTTATTTATTTGTCCAAACACACAGCAGCCCAAGCGTGTATTTGTGTATGTGTGCTCAAATGTCTTCCAGAAGCCACTCCTACCACCCCTGCAAAATAGTTTGAGGATGATACAAGAACGATAAATATCTGGCCAAGGGGAATGTTTTGGAGTGAATGAACGGGAGTTGTGAATGGAGATGGCTGTGGCAGCACAGCACCGTGGTGGCAATGATTTCACCCAGCGTGGGACCGGGAGAGCAGAGGCAATGCCCCTGCATCCCCAGGGAGAGGCAAAGTCCAGGAGTGCTCAGTGAGGAAAGTCCCTCGCTCAAGCAAGACACTTCATGCCCCATTCAAGCTTTTGTGCTGGCCTGGATTGAGGTCTGGGTTTGTGCTTAATTCTTCATCCTGAAATCCACGCTTAACTCAACGTGGGCTTGGAAAGGGGAAGCAGGGATTTGTAATCCGTGGCAGGAATTAGCTGTGCTATTCGTAAAGGCTTTCAGCTTAATCATGGAATATTTTTTTCTGATTCATAAGAAATTCTAGTACATGGGACTGAAATAACGTCACTTTATCATTAATACCCAGGGAAAGCCTCAGGGACTGTGTCCCTGTTAAAAGATGGTTTACATTTTAGTAAAATACTGCCTGTATAGGTATGTTTCTAGACATGTTTCTTTTTCTTTTTCTTTTTCTTTTTCTTTTTCTTTTTCTTTTTCTTTTTCTTTTTCTTTTTCTTTTTCTTTTTCTTTTTCTTTTTCTTTTTCTTTTTCTTTTTCTTTTTCTTTTCTTTTTCTTTCTCTTTCTCTTTTTCTTTTTCTTTCTCTTTCTCTTTCTCTTTCTCTTTCTCTTTCTCTTTCTCTTTCTCTTTCTCTTTCTCTTTCTCTTTCTCTTTCTCTTTCTCTTTCTCTTTCTCTTTCTCTTTCTCTTTCTCTTTTTCTTTTTCTTTTTCTTTTTCTTCCCCTTTGGTCTTGGGAGCTAGTAAAGGGTTTTTATTTATTTATTTTATTTTATTTTTTTCAAGTGTCTTTGCTACAAGCTATTCGAACTTCTCTGAGGGAATGTTTTTGCCATTACTACCGAGTTGGTGCTTTTTACAAGGATTAGAAAAAATGAAAGTTGAAATTAAATCCAGGAATAATCAAATCCAGTTTTGAAATCAATTCAAAACCCACACTTTTTTTGACAAAATGTCTCTTTGAAACCTCATGATGAATGGTCATCAACTCTTCAGATTCCCATCCCAGCTCCTAATTATTTGCTGTCTGGGCAAGAAAATGCATGCAGCTGACCTGGGTGCTGAGCTCCCCTCAGCCGAGGTGTCCTGGCAGTGGAAGGGTTGCTTTTCAGACCAGTATTGGGTTCTCAGACAGAGGTATTGCATAGTGGGATAACGTCCTGGGGGCATCAGTACTTCCCCTGGAAGTACTGATTAACTAACTGTTAATCAGTTAGTTAACTGTGCTAACTGTTGCTGTTAGCACACCCGTCTCACCCGTGCTACAGGAGGGGAGGCCGGACTCCGAGTCCAGGGATTTCTCCTCCTCACACTCCTCTCACAGGCACAGGGCACCCAGAGCCACAAACTGCTCTGCATCCCCCGAGTCATTTTCTCTGCTTTATGGGCCGCCTCCTCCTTGGTCTTTTTTGGAATGTTTTGCTCAAAAATATTGCAGTGATGGGAAATGGTTTTGACAGACAGGAGATCCAGCCTTTTTTCATCGCATGCCCTCAGCACTAAGGCAGCTAGGGTTAGAAGACCCAAATATTTTCCAGATGACGCGCTCCTCATCTGCTGCTGCCGTGGGTGCTGGAGAGATGCAGGAGGACTTGCCTAGCAGCTGGTGGCAAACTGTTCTGCAGGCAGAGCCGTGAACCTGCCGCTTCTTCTTCTTGCCCAGGGCAGTGGAACAGTCTCCAGGCTTGGCAGAGGTTTGGGTTTCGGATTCTCAGGCCCATGCATGACCCGCACGGCAAACCACCCAGCTTGATGGCTGAGCATGGGGCTCCATGGACCACTCTGTGGACTCTTCCCTGGTCCCTGTCTCTTCTTTAGCACATTCGCATCTCCTCTCAGGATGTCCAAGGACCCCACCACTCTTTGACTTGAATCTCCAGCTCTCCTGGGCTCCTTTCTTCTCTCTGCTGCCCATAATTAGGGAAATCTCAGACAATGGACCCATGTAGGAGTGGGAATGGTAGTTGATGTGGCTCAGACCTGCCACAAAGGACTCCAAAAGGGCAAGGAATCTCTCTACATGCACCTTGATCCCAGGGTGGAGTTTTTCCCACGTTGGATGGAAACAGCCTGAGGTGGGAACGTGCTCGTTGCACTGAAGGGGTTAAAAGCCTGCTCCCTCCTCCTAGGCTGACCCTGGAAAATACCTCTCAGCCAGGGACTAAACGCAGGACAGAAACTAAGGCTCCTAGGATACCGGGATACAAATAACACAACTTGTTCCACAGGCAGTGGAAACCAGCAAAGCTGGGTTTCCTATGGTTGGTGTCATGGGGCAGAGTTTCGGGGAGGGCTTTCTCTGGCTGATAAAAGCCAAACATCGCGGGGCAGCAGTGGGATTCCTTCCTTCTTGCCAGCCACCAAACTTCACACAATTTAAGTTCCTGTAATAACTGGGAGCCCCTGCTCAGCGTGGGGACAAGGTTGGGTTCCAAATTAAGCCCAGGAAGGACGTGCTTGTTGATTTGTTCCTCTTCAGGATCTGGTGGAGGCTCCTTTGCAACGCACTGGTGAGGAGGAGGATGACAAGGAGGAGGAGGGAGCTGCTGTGTCATCTCCCCGAGGGTGGCAGTGGGGCCACCAGTGTCCCCTTGCTCCCAGCACCCAGCGATGGGAGCAGCTCAGCCTGAATTCTCTCTGCTGTGAGCGATGGGGGGCCCATTCCTGTCCCCCCTGCCTGGGAAGGACTTGGCATGGATTGGACCCTCCCTGCTCTCCTGAGCCAAGACAGCTGAGATGCTTACGGCTCTGGTGTTCTCAACAACTTGCCCTGTGTTTTGGGGGGTGAGAGGAGTCATGGTGGCTAGGGGGCTGTTTCGTGAGCCGGGCACTTTGCAGGAGGATGGCACAGGCTGAGGTGACCGCTTGCTGTGAATGCAACCAGATGTTACTGATGTGCTTTGCGAGACTAATGGGAAGGGAGGAGAGGGCCTTGATGTAAAGGGAACGAAGCTGGCAGATGACTGCGCCATCTATGCTCAGCCTTGTCTCAGCCTATTTATATAAATCATGTGAAACTCAAATTAGAATTTTATCCATCTGCTCTGCTGCAAGTTGCTCTTCCACTGGTAAAGCAAGCCAAGAAAACGTTCTTAACTCTGTAAGATCTGCCTCTAGCGTGAGAAAGGTTCATATCCACGTCCTGGAGCCAGTGGCGAGGCTGCACATTGCTGTGGGCTCCGGGACATGAACAGAAGAGCTCCAGGGAGAAGCAGGGGCTGCCCTCAGGGCTGCAGCATTTCTTGGCCTCCAAGGCTCCCCACCATGTGCAAGAGGATATGGGTCACTCACCTGTCTCATGTCTGACATAACCATGGGTGAAAGCATCGGGCAAATCCCTCGTTGTCTGGCTGCCAGTCTCCAAGGCAGTGCCCAAACACCGGGGTGTTCACAACGCAGGTAGGGAAGTGCCCCCTGTTGTCTCTTTGCATCTTCCCGTGTTTCCTGCTTGTAGCATCTGCCTCTTGCAGTATTGTTCAGCCTTTCCTTCTCGGGGAGGCTCTTACACAGTCATTTGCTTTAGAGGTGGCCTGTGCTGTGCTCGGGGTGACCTTGGGCCCTGGGGACGTGGCACCTTGGGCAGCCGTGGCTGCAGCTCTGCCTCACGCATGGCCGCAATCCGTGCCAGCAGGGCACACGCTGCTTGTGCAAGGGTCCTGTTGGATCCTGGCCGCGAGTCAAAGCTCTTACGAAACTTCAGCGGCTCATGGCCTAAAACCCAGCTGCGGGCACGGGGAGTGGCGAGGGGAGGACACTGGGATGGAGGCCGTGCAAGAGCGATGCCGGAGCGGGGAGGAAGCCAAGTGAGTCAGCGAGACAGGCGCCGGGCCTGCTCCTCAGCCCGGTGATTTCTAGGAAGAGCATCTGCCCGCACACACGGGTGGTCGCTGAGGGAAATGGTGACTCACAAAGCGATCTTCTGACCCCTCTGCCTGGCTTTCTTGACACGTGCTGCTTTTCCCATCATTGAAAACAAAAAAACATCTCCCCCACCCCAAACTGAGGATGTCAGCAAACAGTCTGGGGGTAAACTGGTGAAGATGGCGTGGCAGAGGGACAGTCGGTCAAGTCTGAGAGATGGAGCCAGAGCTAAACAAGGCACAGCCTCACTGGTACAGAGCGGAAGGAAGGCAGCACATGTGTCTGAGCAGCTGGATTTCTGCATGCTCTGCTAGATTTCCTTAACATCAAGTGAGTCTCTTCCCTTTTTCTTTCCTTTTTAGCAAAACAGGAGTAGAAGGTCACCAAAAGTGTCTTCAGGCAGAAGTGGGGAAGGGCCACGAGGTGATGAACCCCTTGGCCTTTGCTGGCAGGTGGAGGCAGACACGTCTGGACGAGATGCTCGGTTTGCAACCAAGAGGCAGTGGCCACCTCCAGCAGATCTCCCTGTAGCTGAACGTGGTGTCCACATCAAAATTCGTCTCAGTGAAAGGCCTTTTCCCAGGCGTCCTCCATGCTGTGGACAGGTGTTTGGTACCCACGGAAGGTCCAAGACCTGCAAGAGGGAGGATGCTGCTGGTGTCTGTCTGGAGATGCTGCAAGCCTTCCAGACGGGCCTCTGTGTGCCATGAGCAGGGTGCCTGAGTGCCTCCTTGAAGGCCCAGACCACCTCGTTTGCACAGAAAAGCCACTTGCTTCTAGTGGTTCCTCCTGGCCACTTGCTGCAAGCACCAAGGGGATTTGCAACCACCTTTTTGGTGGTTGTCTTCACATCTTAATGAACAGGTAAACAGGGCCGGGAAGGGCTGGGGAAGGATGTGATGCTCCCCTGTGCTTGCAAAAATCCCATATGGACAGCAGCAAAAGTGATTCTGCAGCACTGCAGCCATCAGTGCTCCTGGCAGGGCCACCCTCCGGTGCTGCCACCCGCATGGCTGCTAACGTAACTCCCAGCACCTCTGAGACTCAGGCCCTCTCAGCCCTGAGACTGCAGGCAAGGTCTGTTCTGGGCCCTTCTGCAGCTGCTTCAGCTTCGGTTGGGCCTGGGACCTGCTCAGGAGCTGAGGAGGTCTCCCTGGCCCGCTGCAGGCATCGAAGCCCCCTTGCTGCTCTCCCAGAGCAGCCGCTGTGATGGACGTGTGGCTGGATCAGTGCTTTATGCTGGATGTGGCCCCCACTACAAGTCAGCATGTGCCAGCAAATGACATATGGTTTTTCTTTCAGTTTTATTGCATCAGAGTCACTCTGCATTTTAGATCAGAGGCTCCAGAATCTTTAGCACAGGGGCAAGAACTACAGATAGTAAAAATAAATAAATAATAATAATAATAATGGGGGGAAAAAGGTCCTGGAGATGCAGTTTTGTCTTCCTGCGTGTTACAACGTTGCTGGCTGCCTTGGGCTAGCACCACAGCTTGTTTTCAGCTGCAGCATCTGCCCTGTGAAGGCTGGAGTGGAAGTTAATGAGAAATAAAGTGGCCAGGCTGTGCTGGGACAGCAGCAGCTGTTGGTGGAGCCACCAGGGGAATGGCTCTGGCATGGAGAGGCTGAGGACTGTGCCTGAGCTTCTATGTCTACATTCATGAAAAACAGGTAAGAAATGCTCCTAGCTTGGTCGCCTACTTCCAAGCCCATTCTCAAAGCCAAGAATGTGAGTAAAAAAAGGATTAAACTGTTTTTAAGAGCTTTAATCACATAAAATGGAGATGGTCAAAGTGTTTGTGTGAGGAGATGTCTCGCACCAGTATGTGTTTCTCTCCAAAAGGGCTGAGATTAATTTTATTTAGAGGGGCAGAAACAGAGGATTATAAAACTGGAATGTTCTGTGATGCAAGACTGCTGCTAGATTCATTTTTTTTAATTCATTTTTTATAAACAGGCTTTTAATTCAAGTTGTCTCAGTCTTGTTTCTCCCCCAGCCTCTCCTGTGCAATGCTGGCCTGTTTGTGTCTGGGCTACTGGCAGCGTGTGTTTCAAGTTCTAGCCAAGTATGTATTAAAATAAAGCTGCAATCTGCCGAAAAACAGGTTTTAAGATGGAAACAAATAATTAGAAACACGCAAATTAGTGTATGTCTGACAATAGGTTGAGCTCTGTACAAATTTAAACAAAGCTGGAAATCACAGGATGCAAGTGATTAAACCAGAGGCAGTGGCTAAATGTCGGCTTTAGCAGGTCAGGTGAAAAAGGTGTTGGGAAGGAGCAAACCTGGGCGGGTTTTGCAAGGGCTGTGCACCCAGAATTGAGATAAAACAGTAGCATTTTGGGGCCTTTATGTAAGACAACACGTTTAAAGAATGGGTGCAGCAGAGGTGCTTGCTCAAGGTGCCCATTTGACCACTTGGAGTGCTGGGACATCCACAACTTCTCTGGGCCGTGGTGGAGCACCACGAAGCTACGCCGGTGGGGACGATGTGGAAGTGCTCTCTGTGGTTTCCTTCCTTTGGCACCAGCTGCTTTTACACCTCCAGCCTCAGGTGGTGCGGGCACCCCAGCCCCGCCAGCAACCCCTGTCTGGGTACTGACCAGTGGGTCCCCTGGGTGGCTTTCCAGCAGTGACTGGGAGCAAACTGGTTAAAAATTCGTTGATCGCTGAAATTACAGCGTGCCTGTTTCTCTTTGTGCGCGTGTGTGTAAGCAAGCAAGGCACAATAACAGCATAGATTGTTCTTCTGCACCCATTGTTATGGAAATTGCCTTAGAGACAGTTGCTCTGCCGTACATTTTTAGAAGCACCAGCAGGAAAAGCACTCGGAGGAGAGGAAGAGCACCCAAGGCAGTGCCAGCACTGCCCCTTCCTCAGATGCTTGTTGGGGATTTGAGCTATGGGTGTTTTTTTTGCCCATTCGGGCAGAGGGAAGGAGCCTCTGAAGGAAAATCCCCATCTGTGTCAGCCTCCAGAGGAGCCTTTTGGGCTGCGTGTCTCAGTCTCCACTGCTCATCCGCAGTTTGGGCAAGGGATCGTGTGTCCCATGCTCATGCCTGAAGTTTTCAGGAGTCCTTCCTTCTGCCAGCAGTGCCTCACTACTACAAATGGCCCCATTTAATTCAAAATTAGTGTTTTCCTACTGCTAGATGCCACTTTATCTCAAAAAAAAATTTCAAGAAGAATTCCCCATTGGCTCGGTGTGCTGAAGTGCTGTCCGCCTGTGAGCTGGAGGGGAGCGAGCCCTGTCTCTGATCCGATGCACTTTGTTCACCACCATGCCTGAAACAAGGCTTCTGATGCTCCCACACCTCCCAGTTTCCAAAATACCCCAGGTGCTGGTGAAGGCGCTTTGGAAGCAGCATGTGTCCATGAAATCTTTGTCCTTCCCTCACACCGGTGTTTTGGAAAAAGCAGAAAATGACGGTGCCCTGGAGCCCCCGAGTCGGTTGTGACCACTGAGCACCAGAATGCTGTAGGGCTTGCAGGCACCCTCTCCTTCTTCCCAGCCAGCTCCAGTTTCCTGGTCTGAAATAAATGGTCCTTTGGGTTCTTCTGCCACACCAGCTTGTCCCTGCTTTGAGAAAGAGCTTTCATCTGAAAGGATGGTGGTTGGGCCAGCGAGGGGTGTTGCATGCTGAGGGTTAGGGCTGTTCAACCCCTATTTGCATTAAAATGCCCAGGCCCACTCAGTTTTGACCCAAGAAATCATCTTTTGTCTCAGTTTCAACGTTTTTTCTCTTTCAGGAGAAGAGGCAGGAGGTCTGGGCAGGGGAGAGTGGTTCTGGAGAGGGGCTCAGCTGTGTCCCCTCCTAGCACCCCCAGCCTTGTGGCTATTCCTCCTGCTGCATCCCAGAGCGCTCAAGAGCTGGTGGTGATGGTGAGGTGGTGGCAGAGGCTCGAGGGGACCTTGTCATAAGAACATGGACACTGGGAGTCACGAGCTGGTGGCAGGATGCCACTGAGCAGCCTGGTCCACGTTGGCTCCATGGGTCCTTAGCTGCTCCTCTGCAGCCCCCAGGCACTGTCTGGGGCTGTGCATGCCCATGGTGGGGTCAGGAGGACCTCTCCATCCTCCTTTGTAGCCACTACAGCTGAAAAGATTCTTCTCTGTGAACCTGGGAAACTCTTTATCCAAAGGGTCCCTCATGTTGCTACCCCCAAAGGCTCAGCAGTCAGAAGCAGGAGATTAACACAACCCTCCAACAGTTTCTTCTGAAAACGAAAATATTGGAGGGGTGGGGAAGGGTAACTTTGTATTTTAGACTCTGATCCTTTTAAGTTTCTTTTACTGTCTTTATCTGTTTCTATCACAATGTTTGGAAGCCCTGTGGTGGTATTTTATTTTATTTTATTTTATTTTATTTTATTTTATTTTATTTTATTTTATTTTATTTTATTTTATTTTATTTTATTTTATTTTATTGTTTTTGGTTGGTTTTAATGTGAAAGCAAAGATTTTGGGGGCAGGTAGCTGAAGCTTGGCCACGGGGACTGACAGCCCTGGGCCATGCCTGTCTGCAGATGTCGGATGCCTTGTTTGGATGCCTGGCTGCTTTACAGCAGAGAAGGACACTTTAATCTTTATCCTGAGCTTAAAAATAAATAAATTAAAAAAAAAAAAAAAGAGAATGGAGAAAAATATACAAAGTAGGCCATGACAACAGAGTTTGTGATCATCTGAGATCTGCTCCTAATTAACAGCAGTTCCCGTCCCAGAAATCATACCATTCAGCAAAAGTTAATCATCTTTGCTCATACATACAATGCGCTTCAAGAGGGAATGAGTCACCCTCATTGAAATGTCTAATGTTATGAAATCCAGTGTGACTGATGTAATAGACCCAGCTTAGCTCTCCAGATTGGCTGGGAGCACCAGCAGCAGCACTCAACCCCTGAGTTGACTTCATTGAGTTTTGCTTGTTTGTACCCAGGCTGGCTTTAGCCTTTAGATCCTAAAATAAACTCTCAGGGAACAGCCCAAGAAGAAGCTGGGTGGACTCGTGCCTGGCAAAGGGGTGGCAGAGGGCAAGCGGAGTGGCAGCACCAAGCCTGGTGGTCCTTGCCCCCTGGCATGGTGCTTCTCAGTGCGACCTCTGGGAACAGAAGCACTCAAATCCCATCACTCTACATGTCTAAGCAATCACAGGCCCAGGGATTTATTCTCCAATTCTTGGTTCAAAGAGTATCCTGCCTTTATATCAGCTGTTCCTCCTTAAATTAAATATTATTACCTGCAAACATTTCCTTTAAGCACTGGGAGCTGTTTGCTTGGTGTACTTGGTGTTTAAATGTCACCATATGAATTACTGAAAGTAATTTAAATATTTAAAGTCATATACTGCAAGTCTAATTTTATTCTGAAATAGTGAGCCAGACTTGCAGCTGATGCAGCCGATAACAGCTCAGTCTGGCACCCTTGCTTCCTGTCCCAGTTCTTTAAATTAACAATTTGCATTTCCAACACCTTTCACCCAACAAGTCTGGGCTCTCAGATTTTTTTTCTGTTTCAGTGCGATGTCACTTTACCAATAGCTTTTACTTGACATGAATGCCCGTGGTTTCCAGTGAAATAATGTTTCCCCTGAGAAGTGCCACCACCCAGGCCAAAGCTTTCCCGAGCTTTCCCAAGAAAGGGTCTGGCCACTTGGAAGCTCCAGCTCCTGGCAGCAGCCCACCCGGAGGAGCTGTGCTCCCACCAGGGCTCATTTCCACATCCTTGTGCCCACCCAGCCTTCTAGTTGTGCTGCAGGCACCTCCTCAGAGCATTTGTCTTGCTGGTGACCTCCCTGCCCCTCACTGTCCAGAGATGTCTTGCTTCCACTGTAAAGCTCATTCCCCAGGATGTATTTGCTTAAAAGTTGCCTGGTCACCTCTTTCTCTGCCCGCTGTTGCCTCACTGTTCGAATCAGGAGTGAGGAAATGGTGACATGCAGGCACAACACGCCTGTGTGTCCCCAGGCCGTGTCCCTCCTCCCTGGTCAGCATGGTGCATCGGCAGGGTGGGGGAGACCTTGCATCTCCTCCAGAAGGAGGGCTCGCTGTGCTGTCACGTCTGGTCACAACTCTGCAGGGCAGGGTGTGCCCCCTTTCAAAACTGGGTTGTGTCTTGGTGCACACTTCATTTTACATTCATATCACGGGCTGTAAAAGCGAGTCAAGGGGAAGCTGGAGGTCCACCGTGTATTTCTCACATGGGACCATGTATCTTAAAGCCCATCTTTTCCTCCCAGGTCCATCCCTTGGTCTAATAAATGATGTGAGCTCTGTGCATGTCCCTGGGATGTCCCAGCTATAGCAGCTGCATGTGACAACAGGGCCACAGGGGGACATTTCCCCCAAATCCCCTTTGGCCACCAAAGCCGGCCCCTCCAAGCTGTGCCAGAGCAAAGCCCAGGCCCTCAATAACCCTCCAGAGATGCTGTCAGCAGGCTCAATAATGCACACGGTGTCTTGGGCAAGATGCAATAAGTGCCTTCAACAATGACTGCTTATGCATTGTTTCCTCCTGCCAACACCACCAAGTGCCTTGTCTGCTTTGCTTGCTGGAGGAATAATCTGGACTGATGCTCCAGCAAAGCTTCCAGGCTGTCATGAAACAGATCAATCTCTCAATGCTGCAACAAGGGGCCTGGAGAAAATATGGGGAAACGGTGGACCCTTCCTTTGCAGCAAGTGGGTGATGAGGCCATGGGTGATAGGACAAGGGTAATGGCTTTAAACTAAAAGAGAGGAGGTTCAAATTAGATATTACAAATAAATTATTTACTCTGAGGGCCGTGAGGAGTTAGATGGGCTTTAAGGCCCCTCCCGACCCAAACCACTCCATGATGCTATGAGCAGGGGTCAGGGAGCCAAGCTGGGGAAGCGGAGCTGGGAGCCCAAGCTCATTTTAAGAAGTGCCCAGTGGGTGGTGGAGCTGCTTTCGCAACGGGTTCTGGTAAAAAGCCTGCACCAGGAAGCTCACACTTAGCCTCCTTGAAACAGAAACACTTCTCTGCAGGAAATCGCTTCTTGCAACCAGCCTGGCTGACTGGGAGGAACAGCCAGGGAACTGACGTGTGTGGAGGGTGGGCCGAGGATGCTGAGCCCGTGGAGCTGGGAGGCTCTGGGTGTGCAAATGGGTGAGAGCAGAGGCATGTGGAGAACAAACACCAAGGGGCCCTGCTGTCACTGCTCTGCTTGCTTTTCTATGCCTTCCTGTTCTCTACGGACAATTTTATTTTGGCATATAAGTGAGAAATGATTAGAAATGGGGCATGTAGGTATATAGGTATATATAGGGATATGTAGCTATAGGTACATATCCTCCACAAGGGTGGCATGTGGCTTTCACACCTGTTCATTTAAAGCCTGCTGCTAAAAAGTGTAGAGAATCTGAAATGTTCTCCAGTTTTCTCTCTGCAAGGAGCCTGGGAAGCAGAGGGAGGGGAGCAGGGAAGCCGTTGTTGCTGTTATCCCCGTTTGGTTGGATCGGAGGTCGCCCTGACAGCTGGCAGAGCCTGTGGGGACTCATCTCCTGTTTGTCCCTCTCTCTCCTGGATTTTACAGAAAGTGTGGGGACCTCCCAAGCTGTCATTGAAGCAGCTCTCCCAGCCAAAGCAGTGTGAGAAGTACTGGGCTGATATTTCCGGATAAATTAGGTGTTGGCTCTGCAGATTGGATTTTTTTTTTTTTTTTCACCCAGGTGGAAGCAAACCCTTTGCTATAAAAACGCAGATGATTCCTCAAACTCTGAAGATGGAGCCAGGCTATTCTTGGGTGCCCAGTGAAAAGATGGGAGGCAATGGGAACAAACTGGAGCACGGCATGTAATGGTTAAACATAAGGAAACACTTTTTCACTGTGAGGGTGGTCAAACACTGCATCAGGTTGCCCAGAGAGGGTGTGGAGTCTCCATTCCTGGAGATATTGGAAACCAACTGGGATGGGATCCTGCTCCAGCAGACCTCACTGTGATGCTCTCCAGAGGGACCTCCAGCCTCAGCCCTTCTGGGTGCAACCACTGGGAGCTGATCACAGAAAACAGACAGAGTTCTTGTAGCCTTGATTTTTGCTGCAAAGAGAAGATAATGTCCACCGCAGCCTGCAACACTCTGCACACAGCTTTGCTCCTCCGTGGCTGCCACAGAGCTTCTGCATATACCTGGAGACATCTGCATGGTGGAGAGGTGGGAGCCAGCCTCAGGGGAAGCCTCCTACCCTGAGCCTCCTTCAGAAGGCCGGAATCTGGACGTGGATGTTCACTGCAGCTCTTGAGGGAGCTCAACCTTGACGGTGCTTTCCAGGTCTGACAAGAGGCAAAGTTGATGTCAGAAGAGCCAGGTGGGAGGCAGGAGCAGAGGTCCATGGAGATTGAGGCTAATCTGGAAGAAGGAGGAACACAAGTGGAGGCCGGGCTCTGCGAAGGCTCTGTGAGGCCACACATGCCTCCTTTTACATTGGGCTGTGTGGATTCTCCTGCAGGAACATGCCAGAGAACTTTGGCCCGGAATCCACAGACACCACGACATGAAAATCTCCAGCTCTAGCACAAAAGTGCCTCCCAGAGAGGGACAAACGATGCCGTCCCATCTTGTAGAGGAAGAATGGCAGCACCCAGCAACTCATCAGCCTGAGCTCCCTGCATCCCGGCTCAGCATCTCCACTGGCGACAACACATGAGCAACACGACCCTGGTCCTGCTGGACACGAGGCAGCTTCACGCCGGCAGCATGCACTTGCCAGGGCTCAGCATCCCCGCAGGATGGAGCCCAGCAGAGCAGCAGGGCTGTGCGAGGAAGGGGAAATCTGCTCCCACCCCCAGGAGCTGCCCGCAGGCTCACAGGGAGGGCTCGCTGCAGAAAGCGTCGCAGCGCGTAGATCCTCCCACTGATCGCTTGTGGGTGCAGCGCTTCACCAGGCCAAAGTCATCTGACATTTTTCTTGCGGGCGGCTGAAGCTAATGAATCCAGATTAGGCAGTGCGGAGGCTGGGGAGCTAGATTTCTGCTGAATATATATGAAGACAAATGTAAATTCTAAACTTTCTAGGGAGTATTTTTACCCTGGCTCAGCGTTAGTGTTGATAAAAATAGTCACAAATTAGTGCAGGAGTAGAGAGCGAATTTGGGCTTTTTTATTTTATTTATTTATGTGTTTAATTTGACTGTTAAAGCCATGCATCTATTTCTCTACCAGGAGTTAACCTCTTACATGCAATAATGAAACATTGTGTAAACCACCACCAACTGCCCTTCCCTGACAGATTTACTCCTACGTCAATTAAGTGATTAGTGAAGAGAACCAAAGTTAAATTAAATATATATATATATTATTTTTTTAAAGTGATTCAATCCAAGAAATTCAGCACTGGAAGGAGGATGCTAAGGATGGTGGCATCAACCCAGCCCTCCTGCCTGTTTCCCTAGCAGCTAAATATGCTCGCAGAGGTGACAGGGAGGGAGGCACTATCTCTGCTCTACAGGTGGGAAAACCTACTGACTGTGCTGTTACCTCTTGTCCTGCCATGACTCTTGGTCCTTGTTTCTAGAACAGAAGACAAAGACCCAGGTGGAAAATAGACACCAAAACACAGCCCTGGGTGAAAAAAAAGACATCAAAACCCAGTCCCCGGGCTCAGGAGGTGAGGGAGTGAGGAACCTGAGGTGGTGGCTGCCTCAGCATCGCAGGGGAGCAGAGAATGGATGAGGACAAAAGCACCCCGAACCCAAGACGTGTTACTGCACAGCGTTGTCCTCGTCCCCAAGCACTTGGGACCTTCAGTGCTGAGCTGAAAGCTGCTCATTTCTGGGCAGACGCTGACCTTTGCTGGCACCAAAGCCACATGCACGGCAAGACCAAACGTCACCAAAAGCTCCATCCTGGCCCCCGCTGCGTGCGTCCTCTCTGCCTCATCTGGTCTCTGCAGGAAACCAGATGTGGGCACAGAGCTCTCTGCCCTCCTCTGCAGGGCAGATGCCCCGGGAGGAGGTGGGGGACAGGACGCAGGGACCCGTCGCCAGAGCCCCATGACTCAGTTTCGTCTCGCTTTTGGCTTCGCTGCATTTTGGAGCAGCTGACTGAAGAGGGCAGCAAGCCGACAGGCTGGCACAGCCTCCAGCTGCCAGCCCTGCCCGCCCCTGACCCCGCCACGGGCCTGTCCCCCCCCACGGGGCTGTGTTCACCATAACCCCACCGTAACCCGTGCTCCTGCCACGGAAGGTGGGAGACGCCGGGGGGCAGGCTCTATCACCCCCCTCCCGATGTCCCCCGGCTCCTGGCTGGGCAGGCAGGGATGCCACGATGCTGCTGGGTGATTTCTCTGGCCTTCACTGGCCAGAAATCTGGTCTTGCCTCTGCAGGTGATGTGCCTGGAACCTGTCCTGCTCAGAGGTTTATGTGTTCACTAACATGACCGCAGGACAGAGGTGAAGCGCATCCCTGCTGGTTTCACAACTGTTGCTGCTGCCTCCCAAAAAGGAGCCCCCCTAAAATTCATGGCACTGAGCATACCCCCAGTAGGCTGAGCAAGGGCTTTAGCCCCAGATGTGCCTTCTTTGCACAGCCCACTGCTGTTCCACTTAGGAATTGAAGGTACTTTGAGAAATGTTCTGAAAGGTCAGCTATTTTCACCGTGGCTTGCATAAGAACCTCAACATCCTTTGCTGCAAGAGTGGCGTTAGTAACTTCCTACTGCAACACTGAATCACAATAGCTTCCCACAGCAACCAGCAGTAAAAATAAACTGGGCAAGGGGAAGTGGACAACTTCAGCTGTTCCGCTTTCTCAGGCACACACTTGAGTCACAGAGAAGCAATGTAGAAGCAGACGTTGATTTTGCTGATAGCGATGAAATCCACGAACGGCCCTGAGCACGGTCCTGCTGAAAGCAGAGTTTTGTAACGGGATGCTCGACGTGCTCGAAGTTCAGCACGTTCCCAAGCGCGGCGTTGGTTCTGCAATCCCATTAGGGTCCCTGCTTAACAACCGGGCTAAAGGGAGACAGGCTGTGGCTGCGTGCTTTACCCAACCCAGCACCTATTTTTTTGCCTAGGCACACAGCTTTGTTCCAACAGCACCTTAAAGCCTGTTACAACTCGGGCTGTGTATGCGTGTTTGTGTGCACGTGTGCAGGGAAGAAGGGTGTTACAGGACGACATCTTTCCCGTTACACAAGGCACATCCTGGGCCTTGACTTTCACCCAGCCGCGTCCCTGAGCCTGGTGCTGGGGCAGACCCAGAACCCTTCCCTCTGCGGCAGGATCTTCTGGGAAGGCTTAGAGCGAGGGGCTGGAGTGAGGAGAAGCTGTTGGCATGAAGGAAAGTCTCATTTATTTATTTATTTATTTATTTGTCTGTCTGTCTGTCGGAGTGGCTGACACCCGCGGAGATTTGGGGTGCACAGCCCCAGAGGCTGCCCCCATGGGATGGCGCGGACATCACCGAAACCCGCGAGACCCCGCGCCCCTTCCCGCGCTTTGCAGCCCCGCCCCTGCCCATATATGGCCGCCCGCCTCCCTCCCTCCGCGCTCTCATTGGCTCCCGCGGGCTTTGGGGGCGTGTCCCTGAGGGAGGGGGCGTGTCCCTCGCGGCGCGCCATGGCGGGGCGTGGCGCGCCGCGCTGTGCCGGGCCGGCCCCCGCCCCGCCCCTCGGGCCGCCCCCGCCGCACGACCCGGCGGGCCCGGCGGAGAGCCCCGCTTTAAGGGAGGCCGCCGGGATGGGGCGCGCCGCCTAGGGCAGAGCGGGGCCGCCGTGCTCCGGGCCGCAGGCAGCGCGCAGCTACACGGCCGGGCCGAGCACAGCCCAGCACAACCCAGGGAGCCGCGGCGGGGGTGGCCGCTGGGGGCCGGGCCCTCGCTCGCTCGCTGGCCGCCCGCCCGCCGCCGAGCCCCATGAAAACGCAGGTCTGGGGGAGCTCCCCGCGGGCGCCCATGGCTGCGGCGATGCCGTGCAAGAGCGCCGAGTGGCTGCAGGAGGAGCTGGAGTCGGGAGGCGGCCGGTCCCTGCTGCTGCTCGACTGCCGCCCCCACGAGCTGTTCGAGAGCTCGCACATCGAGACCGCCATCAACCTGGCCATCCCCGGGCTGATGCTGCGGCGCCTGAAGAAGGGCAACCTGCCCATCCGCTCCATCATCCCCAACCACGAGGACAAGGAGCGCTTCGTCAAGCGCTGCAAGGCCGACACCGTGCTGCTCTACGACGAGGCCACCGCCGACTGGCAGGACGGCGGCGCCGCCACCTCCGTGCTGGGGCTGCTGCTCCAGAAGCTGCGCGACGACGGCTGCAAAGCCTATTACCTGAAAGGTGAGCTGCGACCCCCCCACCCCTCTCCTCGCCCCGCAGCCCCCTCGCCCCATCCGACCCTGCTCCCGCATCCCCCCCGCACCGCCGGGTGCAGCGATCCCCCCTCGTTTTTCCCCTCGTTTTAATCCCCGGAACAAAATGGTGGGAGGCTGCCAGCGCCCCGCTGCCTTCTCACCCCCCCCCCCCGATGTAGGGCAGCCCCCTGCCTTCCCCGCAGCCTCCCCAGCCCCGAGCCCAGCAGCCCCCGGCTGTTTCGCTGCAGCCCCCGCGGCTCCCCACGGGTGCCTCTCCCCTTCCGAAAGGGCCTCCATCCCTTAGATTTCCTCTCCCCCCCAAAAAAAAAAGCCCTCTGCACCCCCCCATTCACTTTCCCTGGAAACAGCAGCCTGTCTGGGGGGGGGGCTGCCCTCCTTCCCCCCTCCATAGGGCGATGCAGGAGCTGGAGGGGGGGGAACACCCTGCGTACCCCCATTCCTCCCCCCGAACATGCCCTTTTCCTGCGGTTTTGGGGTATTTTTGGGACCGTTTTAGGAACATCCCGGTGGGGCTGAGCGGAGCCCGCAGCCGCGCTGCCGGGGCGGTCGCTGGGTGGCGGCGTTGGGGCAGGAATAGCAGCGGAGGCGAGGCGGCTGTGCGGGGGAAGGGTGCGAAAGCTGCCACTTGCAGCCCTTTAAAAAAACGCTGCTGCTGCCGAGCAGCCCCTCTGATGGGAGCCGGGGGAGCCCCTGGTGCGGGTTTTTGGGGGGGCAGGGAGATAGGCAGGGATTTGGGGACGAGCCCCTGCTGCACATCGCCTGCACCAGGCTCCTCGGAAAGTCATGTGGAGGGGGGGACCCAGGCACCAAGCACAGGGACCGGTCCCCTTCCCCGTGTCCCCTTTCCCTCTGCCTGTGCTGGGGGGTGAAGCCCCCTGCCCATCCTGGCTTCGAGCTTCCCAACGAGCCCTGCTGCTCCTCCGCCTTCACCTCTTGTTTCTCTCCCCTTCATCCTCCTGGGGAGGAGGGAGCAGCTTTGAAGTTGCTCTGAGCTGTCCCTAACAGGCGGGGGGGTTGGGGGCGAGCCCCTTCCTCTGCCTTTTTCCGGGAGCCTCGGTGGGAAATGTTTCCAATTAAAATTCCAAAATGGCTCCTCGGCGCTGTCTGGCTGCGCGGGAGGGAGGAGGAGGAGGAGGAGAAGCCTTTTTTTCATGAATGGATGTGGCAGGAGCTATCTGTCCTGCTCGGTGACCCCGCCACAACCACCGAACCCACTAACAAAGTTTCCAGGAGGCCTTTCTAATTAAACCATTTGTCAGTGTCAGATTCTGGTGGCTGGGTGCTGGCTTCATGTTGCCTGGAAGGAGGCAGATTGGTGAGGTTTTTGCTGCTCTCCCTGCCTTCCTTCCCGAGATGTTGAGCTGAGGAGCTGGAGGGAAGTACTTGAGAGGTCCCATCCCTCCCCAAGCCCGCTTTGGGTTGGGTGAAGAACGAACCTGTGGAGCTGCCCTGTCACAAAGCACATTCGCAGTGATAAATTAGGTGTGAGAATGGCTCTTTGGCAAAACTTATGGCCTTTTTCCCTTCCAGAAGGTGAATTATTTTATGGGGTTTTAGTGCCTGAGCTGGGCATTTGCTTGTTGTTCTTGCTTTATCTCTTCAGACATGGATACTTGTGTGCTTTTCTGCCTAGGTGGCATAATAGCTCTTGCCTAAACTGCCCTAGCCCCGTATCTCAAGAAGCTAAATGAGGCGAGATCATCCCTTGCCACTTATTTTGTTTTTAGATGTTTGTTTCTTTTGATGCAGTTGAGATTTGGCCTGTATTTGTTAAACTTAGTAAGGAACTTTCTTTGCTTGGGACCCGTTTGCCCAGTAACAGGCTGCTGGGGAAGGCGAAGGAGCAGGGAGATGCCTTTCTCGGGCTGCTTTTTGGGTAGGTGGAGGCATAGCAGCCAAT